ACTGTTGATGTAAACTGAAGGTGTAGTGATCTTCATTTTTTCTTCTTCTCCTCATTTTTCTTGAAGTTCATACACTAACAAAAGAATCTGATCTGTAATTTCTTGTGGTACATTTTGAATTTAAAAGATATTAATTATATGCATTCCCTGATGCCTACCTTCATAAACCTAATGTTAAACATAGCAAAATTTTAAAATATTTGGGATATTTTGTTCCTTGCTGAATTTAGTATCAACAGCACATAGGGTATGCCTGTATTGTCGTAGGACAATATTCTTTGCTTTTTTATGGACGAGGCCAATTAGAGTTTACCAGCAGTATGTATGATTTGCAATTATAATAATTCATGCTTTTTTGTCAACAAGAAACAAGAATAGTGTCCTAGACAGATTAAATCTCCTCAGGATGTGCTAACCTACACTTAATGTAAAACACAACAAACATCACCGTATGCACATTTAACAACAGCGCATGCCACGTGTACAATGCACACTCTCGCATGCAGGAACAAGCAAGCATTGAAATGAAACAAAAAAAGGTACACGTACATACATGTACGTATAAGGTCCTTTCTCCGTACTACACATATGTACCACAGGAAAGGAGTATCACACTTCAATGAAAACAAGAACAGCATCCAACAATAATGTGGATAACATCAGACGACACCAGGCTTGGCCTACCATGCAGTAAACGATCAAAGCTCGTAGACACGGGGGGAGAACTAAACTCAAACTGAGACCACAAAAAATCACAAATAAAGTCGTCTCAGGTCCAAATACGAGGCTGGGAGCAAAGCTGTGCATGAACGGTTTGTAGAAAATGACTGAGGAAGATGAGGGGATGATGTGGACAGTGGAGTGGGTGGGTGTGGATCTTGTACCATCTCTTCATACGTAGTTTTACACACACGGCGGGGATCAAGCAGATCCACCAATGTCCAGCAGCCTACGTACAAACATTTAATCCTGGCAGGAGTTGTTCACTGGACTTTGTTGATCTCAGAACTTCTTATTTTCATCTCACGTCGTTTAAGAATTTTTTTGTCCAGGACGTTGGGATGTTGAGCAAAGACTGATAAGACTGATAGCAGCTTTTTGAAGAAGGCATCAACTTGGTTGATCATTTTTGTTTTTAAGACATGTATGGGGAACAACAAAGCCCACCGATTTGCAGCTCTGGGCCTGCGATTCTTGGCATGATCTGAGCTTTCAAAGCCGCCATCACATATAGATGTTAACCTACTGGTATGTTACAGTCCACTAGACGTCCAATCTTTTAAAATGGCAAGAAGGAACATTGGGAGATCTGTACTGTATGTGCACTACACATGAAGAGAGGACAGAATAACCGAACCGTGGAAACTTAAGGAAATGGCGCAAAGATCTGGCTGTATTAAGGGTGGAGGAATGAAACATGCTTTGGATCACCTGCTATTTCTATATACAGCATGAAAGGCAGGGTTTTAAGCATGCAACACTAAAGAGTGGGTGGTGTTATTTACTGATGAGCGAACACCGAGTAATGAGGAAGAAAATACATAATATTAGGGGATACGTTTAGTCTTTTTAAAAGTACCAACAGTCGTGGCTACCTAGGAGATTTGTAGGCAAACTTAGGAGCAGTGATCTATGCTCCCAGCATCTTCTTAACCATGTAGCCGGGTGCGGAGTAAAGGAGCAGGCCTATGAAGGCCGTGAGAAGCAGTACGCAAAGAACTTTGATGATAGTCCACTTGTAATTCTTCCACAAGATGTACTTGAGAGATTTGAGAGGGCTCAAACACCACAGAGCCGAAGAGTCAGGTCGGCTGAACAGAGAGGACAGGAGAGAGAGAGAATAACACAGACCAATCAATATACATCTTTCTTTTACAAAATCTTTTTTTGAATTTCTGATTTCTTGGGTCGAAGAATCAGCCACGGTTCTGGTCTGGGAAGTTCCAAATCTTGCAGAGAAAGAACCTTCGTTGGTCAGAGAGAGAAACTGGTAGCAATTAGCACTTGTTTTCTTTACTCAAAAGCTTGATGTGGCAAAGAACTTGGTGTGTAATTGGACAAAGAACAGGACAGAGAGGGAATAACACAGACCAATGAATATACATTTTTCTTTACATAATTTTTTTTTTAATTTCTGTTTTAGGACGATTTCTGGTACTCAATCAGTCATCAGTTCTGTTCTGAATGTTGCAGAGAAAGAATCTTTCTTGGTCAGAAAGAGAAATTCGTAGCAATTAGCATAAACTTTGTTTTCTTTATTCAAAAGCTTAATGTGGGAAAGAATTGTATGGCAAAGAACTTGTGTATAATCTGACAAAGTCTTGCAGTTTGTAATGTCCCCGCTTAATATCAGTTCATTTTTATCCACCTGAATGTTTATTTGGAGGAGCAGGTATAGTTATAGAAGTTGCTGTACTTTTTGTGTCAACAAAGATTTTTTTTTTTAAATAACGTGTACTAAAAGGGTGTGTTTAGTAGTTTTGTGGGAACTGTCTAATCATTGCAGAATTTGGGATCGGACTTTTCTTAGAGAACTGTGTGAATAATAGTAGATGTATCCAATTTTTGACACAACAGTCATTTGGGGATGGGTTTTTCTGGGCTAGCTTTTTACCAAAAGGCAAGAGGCAGCATCCAGGTCAGATTTTTAGGGCAAAACCTACATCTCCATTGCTGCACTGCAATTTCAGAATGTTCTATGGGGATAGATAAGAAGTAGAGAGTGGTGGAGAGTTTATATGAATCAGTGATGTGTATAATGCGGAGAAATAATTGGGGATGCATCGAAACTAAAAAAAAACAACAACTTGCAACGACATGCACCATCTCCATTCTGTGCTGAGATCTCAATCTACTACTCAAGTGTGCTTCAGTCAGTGTCTCTATATACTCATCACGATGCTCCAACAACACAACCTTGAAGCTAGAACGAAAGAGAAACGCTGAAGGAACGAAAACAGAAATCTTGGCTAAATTGCAGGCTGGTGGTATATACCGATACCTATCCTGTCTACATGTGGTAGTGAGAGTACACACAGCTTTAGGCCCCAAGGATCTTCTTAACCATGTAGCCCGGCGCGGAGTACAGTAGCAGGCCTATGAAGGCCGCCAGGAGTAAGACACAGAGGATCTTGATGATCGTCCACTTGTAATTCTTCCATAGGATGTGCTTCAGAGATTTCAGTGGGCTCAAGAACCACAGGGCCGAAGAGTCAGGGCGGCTGAGGTCAGGAGGGAAGGAAGGAAAGAAGATCTGATGAAGGAGGGAAGACTTTACTAGAGTAAGCCTGGGTGTTTACAGTCATCACGTTTTGAGCAGCCCTTCCGTTGGTTAGGTTCCTATAGGAGCTTGATGGCCAACACCTCTAAGTCAGGAGAATTAGGAACATCATTGATAAATTGATTTGTACATAATATGTGCTAACAGGACCAACTTTTATCAGACTGAGAACTTTAATTTACAATTATGAGAGTGTCAACTGTGTCTGTTACCATTGTGTTGGAGGCCAAGGGTTTCTGCAATTGTGTCTAAATGGACCAACTATTATCAGACTGAGAACTGTTACCAATGGTCTTAACTCAGTCTGTTACCAGTGGTGGAGGCTGTGATTATTAGTTTCAATAGCAACAGAGAATCCTGGGCTCCTATTGGACTGTTTTGAGAAAATCCTGGGCTCCTATTGGACTGTTTTGAGAGAATTCTGGGCTCCTATTGGACTAATCTTTATAGTGATAAATTTCCTGAGCTCCCATCGGTACACAGTTCTGAGAATGGTACTCTTGAGTTAGAGGTGTGTGGCCACAAGCTCTTAGTTGAGGAAGGACAGGGAGAGATTGTGTAACACAGGCTAGATAGTTCACAACAGGCTGGCAGTTGTGACTTAGTTTGCAGACACAGAGAGATCCCATGTGGTGAGTGTAGCAAATGAAAGGGGTTAGTTGGACCATCTCATGATCAGCTGCAAGGATGCTTCTGTATTATTTGAACAATTGACGGAGTTAGTAGGGAACAATAACAGTTACTGCATTGTAGAGGAGGGAAAATGGGGCTGGTTTACATGAAGGAATTCTCAAGTTGGTTGCTGTTGAGGGCTATATGTTTGCAGCAACATTGGGAGGAATCTTTGAGTGTATGATACACAAATCGTACATCTGGTCAGCTATTTATTAATAAAATAATGAAGCATTTGGACCTTAGAAAACTTTGGCATTGACAGCTTGTCTGTTATTGTAGGGGTGCGAGTAATCCACACAATACAACTGGTGGAGGGAAGGAGGAAAATCACAGGAGGGGATGAAGTAGGGAAGAGGTGAAGTTTCGTTTTTATCTTTCAGAAGCACTAAGTCTTCTAGAAATCTTAGCATGAAAGAGGTGAACGTTTTGTTTTTATCTGCCAGAGGTGTCTCGAGTTTTCTTTTGAGTTGTATTTGTGAGGACAACACTGATGATCAACATCAATGATGTGTGTATGGACTGTTCAGTACTTAAAGGCATTCCTGTTTGAAGACTTAAGGGAACAGGACTGATTATTTCTAGATGAGACTGCGCAAAAACACTAAGGACAAGAGATAACAGTTTCATAATGTGTGTGGAAACTACTCAGTAGTTAAAAGGACTACTGTATGTGTAGGGATACAAAACTAATGATTTTTTAGCTTTGCACGAAAAACAGACGAGGCAACAATTCACCACACAGGTGACATTTTTTGTTGTACACACTCAAACGAAATCGAACACCACGCTTACAGCAGCAGCAGCAAATCTACGCTCTACAAAGAAGTGCAGAATGCAGTGTGCGGTTTACAAACACAGACACTACTATATAATAAACAGGACCACTACAGGAATAAATAGGTGCTGCGTTTTGCACCACACGTACAGGACGTTTCTCTAGCACCAAATTACAGCACCACCACGACTACACGAACGAAACACGCCATGACCACATCATTCGGTTGTGCTAGTCGATACCTAGTAAGAGAAGTTTAGAGCAGTTTTGTGCTGTGCGACCGGTTTAGGCCCCGAGTATCTTCTTGACAATGTAGCCGGGCATGGAGTAGAGGAGCACGCCGATAAAGGCCGCCAAGAGCAGCACGCACACGATTTTGATTATGATCCACTTGTAATTCTTCCAGAGGATGTACCGCAGAGATTTCAGAGGGTTCAAGAACCACATGAACGAGGAGTCGGGGCGTCTGGGATGGAGGGAAGGAGAGAAGAACACATGGGAGAAAACCGAGGGTCGTCAGCGTCATTGCTGATCATTAGTAAAATGAGTTGTTAATTAACGACTTTCTTGATGCAAGGAGTGAGTTGTATGGGTTTATCAGTGTTGTAGTCAATGATATAGGATGTCAAGCAATAATTAAAAGTGAAAGAATGTTAATGTCCAAAATGTTTGGTCAAACTTAAGAGGAAAAAGAGGTTTGTCAGTGAGTAGAGTTTGTGTTAGATGAGGAAAATATTCATGGATAAAAGAAATGATGAATGAATGAATGAATGAATGACAACTTGCAACAGCTCAGGTTCTGGGAATGCCACTGTCACAAAACGTAACAGCAGAAGACTGCAACTGTCTGTAGCAATTTTGTAACAACAAAACGTCACAGCAGCAAACTGCAACAGTCTGTTCTGGTGGAGTAACAACAATTTCGTTTTCTGGAGAGGGGAAAGAAGGAATGAAGGAATGAGTTAGGTGTAGCAGGCACGTGCATGCAGGATCATTTTGGCAGTTGTAACTCAATCAGCAAGCAGAGCCAAGAACTGAAACTGAAACAAGAAAAGATCGGATGACGGGACTCTCTACCGGCAGAGTGTATACCTAGGAGGATAGTCTTGTAGAGTTTTGGGAGTCGGTTAGAGAATTTTTACGCCCCCATCATCTTCTTGACGATGTATCCGGGGGCGGAGTAGAAGAAAAGCACGATGAGAGCGGTGAGGAGCATCGAGACCAGCGCCTTGAGGATCGTCCACTTGTAGTTTTTCCAGAGGATGTAGTAGAGCGATTTGATGGGCATCAAAAACCACAAAGCAGACGAGTCGGGCCGACTAGAGGATTGAAGGAGGGAGGGAAGAGTAGCTTAGAGGTGGTAGGTGATGGTTTTTACAGATTGAAGAGGCCCTTGCTGACAGACTAACATGGATGTATGGATTGAATGTGTTTTCACTGTATGAAGGCGCATGTTCATGTACAATTTGACAGGGGTAAAACATTACAGCCATTATGTGGGTCTATCTACTACTCAAAATTGCAAGGAGTTAGGGATGGAAAGAAGAGAAACTTAGATGTGTTAAGTGACGATTTTAAAGAAGAGCTTGGACCTTGCTGACAGTAGTGTATGGTTGCATGAATTGGGTGTGTTTTCACTGTATGTGATGTACATTGTAACAGGGTTAACACAACTGTTACAGCCACTGTGTCATTCTATCTGTAGTACTCAAAATCACAAGGAGTGAGGGATGGAAAGAAGAGAAATTGGTTGTACTAGGTGATGTTTTTTTTTTTTTATAGATTGGAGAGGTCCTGGGATTGGGTGTGTTTCCAAAGTATATGATATCGTAACAGGGGTAAAGTAAAAGCTACTTTGTCTATCTAGTACACTTAAATGTAGATAATTTTTACAGGAGAGGCCATTTCTGACAGTGGCATGGCTGTGTGATAGTGGAAGAAAAGTGAAATTTTTGGATTGGGTATGTTTTCACTTTATGGAGGTACTATCTAGCAGGGGTACAAAAATGTATATCATTACGACTACTGTGTGGGTCATTCCACAAGGGAAAAAGAGAAAGAAACTTGCGTAGGCAGAGTTTGCTATCTATCTCTAGTCCAGGAAATTCTGCTCAATAAAACCTAGACTGGGTCAAGGACTGGATAGCTCTAGACTGAGATGTGAATGTGTTCTATGTGTTACACATTTGTTGTGCATGGAAACGGTGCATGGAAAGTTTGCAACCCTGGTGTTCAGCAAGGCATCTTGACTGGGAGGAACTGGCCTGTAGGAAATGTACTTAGAGGAGAAGAGTGAGCATCACAGGGTTCCTCCAACTGTTGCACTACTGTAACAGTAAAGCTATACAATCATGTGAACCAGACTGGAATAGGTTAGAACAAGATCAACAAGGAACAGTAAGTTTTGTCAGCAGGCATCACCAGAAGTACATTATACACAACTCTTCTAACATCAAACTGTGGCAACTCAGCATCCTACACAATAGAGGCAATAAACAAACTGAACCTTGACAAGACTTGCTCGTATGAAACAAGGGTCAAAACAATCTTGAATAAAAAAGCCAGGCATAAGAAATCAGGAATCACCCAAAGTTAAGACGTGACTATATGGTAAAGGCAACTTTCTAGAATCCAGAAAAAAACAAACTTCAGACCTCAATGGTGAAAACTAAAGGCAAAGACAAGAGAACCTCAAACATAGACCAAATCAAACATAGACCAAATCAAACATAGACCAACTCAAACATAGACCAACTCAAACATAGACCAAGTCAAACATAGACCACATCGAAACATAGGATATCAATGATTCATGAGTATATAGAATAAGCAATCCATAACAAAGAATGGTAAAGACGATATTCAAGAATCTGTACAGAAAAGAATCCTAACTTAAAACCAAAGGCAAGAGAGTAACCTCAACAGAGACCAAATCAAAGCAGAGAGTATCATTTATAAGTAATCCATCTCTCAAAGTAAAGGACTGACCATACAAAATGTATATGAAACAAAGACAAGAGAGTAACCTCAACATAGACCAAATTGAAACAAAGAATATCAAATAATCCATAACAGAGAGAAGTCAATCAATAAAAACTACAAATTTAAAACAACTTGGAAAACAGAAACAAGCAACCAACAGACAAAAGGTGAGTTACTTCATGCTTTCAAACCAATCATTATATCAACCAAGCATGCCAATGAAGGGTGACCAAAGAATGAGGAAATAATCATTATTTATAATCAAACTGCACATAACCATACCTTTATAACCACCATGGCTCAGAGAGCATTGAAACAAGGAATTGCAGAAAATTATGATCAACAAAAATGCTATAATTGACTTAGGAATGGAATGTAAAATGAAGAACTGAAAAAATGCTAAAAAAAGCTTTTTTTGTGTACTAAAATTAAATGATAGCAAATTTTGAAAGCAACAAATACCTGTCTCCTTCCTGTTAGATATTGCATAGCATCATTTACATGCATATATTTCAAGTACTGTAAGCATATATTCATCATAAATACATCTCAAACATCTGACTACAAACATAAAGTATATTATATAATTACATTTTCATTTCCAACAATCTTCTAAAATCTAAGTAACCATGCACTCTGTGAGACTGATTTCATCCACATTCAATTTTATTAAAAACACGTCAAATTCAACCATTTACACAAATGACAAGTCACAACTGACTTACTCAAACCAAGGACGTTCTACAAGAACATCCTTGCTCAAACATAAACCTTAGCCTAACTATAGGTGAATGTCACCTTAGCCTCAAAATTTCTTTGACATTCACACAAAATACAAACTTCTCAAATATACACTCACATTCATTCACACACACTTTCTACATCATAATACAGCTTCCCAAAAAACTCTTCCATACCAATGGCTGCAGATAAAAATCTGATTTGGGTTTCTCATTCCTCACTATCCATGCAATTGTTGCCACTTGGACACACAGACAAACAAACCCACAACAAACTTGGGTTTCTCCAGATTTGAAGATCTAGTTTATTTCAATCACCTACCACTTTCCACCTCCCCCCTTCAACCATCAATACTTGGACACACAGACACACAAACCCACAACTCAGCCACCCAAAACAATACTTCCATCTGACTTCTCCAGAGGATCTGGTTCATTTTATTCACCTACAACCTCACCCCCATGCAACCATCAATACTAGGACACACAGACACACACTGTGTGTCTGTGTGTCACAACTCAGCCACCCAAAACAATACTTCCATAAAGATCTGACTTTCATGGGTTTCCAGAGGATCTACTTGGACACACAGACAAACAAACCCACACTCAGCCACTCAAAACAATACTTCTGTCTGACTTACTTGGGTTTCTCCAGAGGATCGATCTGGTTCATTTCGATCATCAACCACCCTCCACACAACCCTTACTACTGGACACACAGACAAACAAACCCACACTTAGCCACCCAAAACAATACTTCCAGCTGACTTACTTGGGTTTCTCCAGAGGATCTGGTTCATTTCAATCACCTACCCCCCCCCCATGCAACCATCAATACTAGGACACACAGACACACAAATCCACAACTCAGCCACCCAAAGCAATACTTCCATCCGACTTACTTGGGTTTCTCCAGAGGATCTGGTTCATTTCGGCCCAGTCCAGCAGGGCTCTTCTCAGCCTCTTCTGCAGACATGAGGTTGAGTTCAGCTTCTACTTTGCCCTACAAGAAAGATTGGAGTTCAACCTGTTAAACTCATGATTAGGTGACTGTATGAAAAGTACTCCCAGTGTTATGCTTCATGCCCCATACAGGCTAGTTCTGTACATGGTTGTGTACTAAACGTGTCCTTGAATAAAAAAAAACAACAACTTTGGGATGGGTCACATACATCGTGTGATCGCCATTTGACCGACATGTGTACTACAAACTTCATCTGTCTTGTTAAGGAAAAGGCTGTCTTACGTCCTTGTTGTTTTGTTGGTAGTTGGTTCTGTCTGAAAATTTTATGTTACTCATCCACATATGGCCCAGCTTCGCCAACAGATATTAAGTTTTTTTTATCAAGCAACATGTAGAATTGACTCTTAAACCCTTGTTAACTTATAACCCTTGTATATTATATGATGCAGTACTCAGTAGTATTGATGTAATTATTATATTAGATAATGTGCTGTTATTTTATGTGATACATACCACAATCAATTAAGCCTCTGTCAGAATATTTCACTTTTTGTGATTTTATTTTCAGTATTTAGAAAAAATCATACAAAAGTATGCATGATGAAAGACTGCATTTATCTCATAACTATAGAAGCAAGAAGAGTTAGTGCAGTCTTCAAGCATTATGTATTTTGTTTTTATAGAGTTAGTAATATTGGAGACCCTGGGTGGGGACATAGCTTCCTTGTTTTCTCAAATTATTTCATTGTTTGATCATATTTCTTCATTGAGAAATGTTTACAACAGTAGCAATCACAACATGTAGTTTTAAGCCTCTAGGGGGGTTCTCATTTAGAGCAATTACGGACACCCCTCCAGGGTCTCATGTCTGCCAGAGAAGGAATACCTACGGTGCACTGTTGTTGGGGTGGTCCATTGTTGAGTGGGGGGGGAATACAGAGACAGCAAAAGTCATGAAGAGAAGAGAGCTAGAGAGTATCCAGACTTGTCCATGCTTTATTTCAGTGGTATAGTTTTACTGTACACTTTTTTTAAGTTGTGGTACTTGAGGAAATCATTAGGGAAAGAAGAGGGCTGTAGAACTGTGCTGAGACGTTTAAAGGCAGGAAAGGTGGTGTATATTTTGTAGAGTGAGAAGGGCCGTCAGATATTGGGATCTTTATACAAGCATTAAGGGGTATATTGAAAATTAAGGTGTTTAGGAGTTGACAAACGGTGCATTGAAGCAGTGTGCTTTGCTTATTTAAGTCCAAGGGTACCAGGGAGTGGAAGTATCCACATTGAGATGTTGGACACTTGCGGTGGATACAGGAATTTTGGACCACTAAAGTTTAGGAAAACTGATGTAAACATTTTCGTGCTGACAGAGCAAATGTCTTCATCAGATGTGTTTTGTGAGATCAGAACTTCAGTGATCCAAAATTCCATGGCATATCTTTAAAGCTGAAGCATCAGTAGAGTTACGAGTTGCATTATTCTGAAGCTGTGTTTAACAGTTATCTAACGGTGCAGGAGGGGTTTGGGGACTGTTGGCTGGATTTTTATCAACTCATCACACAGGATGACGTGTTTAAAGTGCTTTATGGGACAATGGAGATACAAAGTTGTCAGCTCATAGGAACAGATATTCTTACTTTTAACTTAAAAGTTGTCAATATGACTTGTACTAGATCATGCTGGATAAAATTGTGACACTTTAAGGAATATTCTAAAACATGAAAACAAAATAAATTGCCCACAAAGAAAAATCTTAACTTGACATTACTGATAGCATCCAGAAAAAAGATCAAAATACTGTTACAGACTTCTACACAACTCATGCCATCTAGTGCTGAAAACCAAACAAAAGAACAGTGACACATGCTTTTCTTGTGCTGGAAAAAAAATGCTGCGTTTCCAGATTTTGGCTGAACTGATCCAAAAGAAACATCTGGATCTCCATATTTTTGAAGGGAAGGGGCAAATATTTCTCCAGATTTCACCACAAAAGCCTAGTCATCAGGTTTGGGCCAGGGTCAGTCCAGTAACCAGAAACACAAAGTTTTTCCTAGGAAAACATCCGAAAATATTGTTTAAAGTCAAAACGTTTGGTCCAACACAAAATATTCTCTCACCTAGAACTTTCGACCAGTCACTCTGGTCTTCCTCAGTAGACTGACCCAGTGAAGCTTGTCACGTGGCTTCTTTGAAGTGTGACGTCAACACTGGGTCAGTCTACTGAGGAAGACCAGAGTGACTGGTCGAAAGCTCTAGGTGGAGATCTTTGTTGTGTTGGACCAAAAGTTTTAACTCTAAACATGTAACTACCAGCACAGATGAACTTTCATGATAATCTGAAAATACTGTGGGAAGCCTGACAGTGAGCTTGAGTTCATCATCTTTCTAGAGGTTGACCCCAAAAAAGGTTAGCCACTAATAGGTAATCAGAAACACAATTTTTTTCCCAGGCCTCACATCTGAAAATATTGTGGGAAGTCTGACTCACAGTGAGCTCGACTTCATCTTTCTAGAGGTTAGCTACTAGTAAAAGGTAACCAGAAACACAATTTTTTCCCAGGCCTCACATCTGAAAATATTGTGCAAAGTGTGACTCACAGTGAGCTCGAGTTCATCATCTTCACCCTTGGCAGCGAATGGCCACCACCCCTTGACACGCTTCTGCTTGAACAGGTTGACCTGCGGCACGGAGCCGTCGGTCTTCAGCATGTCCAGGGTGCACTGCTTGGATGTCTTCGCTCCTCGCGGGAAATGATTCAGATCCATCACAAGGGATCCTGGCGGATGGAGAAAAGAAAAGCGAAAATGAGTGTGAGGAAGATGACATGTACTATGTACTTTATAACTTTATAGAAGGATAAGAGTACATTATAAGATCCTAATGACCATGATTTATGGTATTCTACAATAGTACGCAGTTGAAGGCAAGCAGCACAATCTTCAGCACCAAGGAGAGGATCAATGATTCAGATCCATCACAAGGGATCCTGGATGGATGGGAAGAAGAGCGAAGATGAATTTCATGCATATTTGAGGATTGAATGATGTGAAGGCAAGCAGCACCATCTTCAGCACTAAGGAGAGGACCAATACTACCTTCTGCTAGGGTCACATTTCCAAACCGGGGCCCAGATTGGCTGTTTCCATGAACGAAAAATAAACATTTTACACAAATAGTGCTACTGATAAGTTTTATTTTCATACTTTTGATTCCCAGAAACTGCCAAGCCGGCATCCCAGACCTGCAGGTTAAGACGAGCCGGGATCTTGTACTCAATCTTTTATTCGTTTGTTTATTCATTCTTTCATTCATTCATTCTTTCCTTCATTCATTCCTTCATTCTCTCCGTAAGGACTTACCCAGGAAATCATCGGCAGAGAAGTGGTCGGCTTCCCAGACCTGCAGGTTGAGACGAGTCGGGATCTTGTACTCGGTCTTTCATTTGTTTGTTTGTTTATTCATTCTTTCATTCATTCCTTTATTCATTCATTCTCTCTCTCAGCAGGTACTTACCCAGGAAATCATCGGCAGAGAAGTGGTCGGCGTCCCAGACCTGCAGGTTAAGACGAGCCGGGATCTTGTACTCGGTCTCGTCCCAGGAGAAGAGGGACTCCTTCCTGGAGATCACGATCTTCTCCTCTGCGGCCAGGTAGTCAAACGGGAAGATGAAACGCCAGTTGAAGTTTCCTTCCCCAGTCAGTGATCTGCGTGGAGAAACAATAGTGGAACAGTTACTATTACTGAAACAATTTGTACATTGTGTTATCTACGCAGTGTACAAGAGGCATTCAATAGCTTCATAGCCTCACCTAGAAACAAGGAATGTAAGTCTAATTTCAGTTTCCTGTTTCAAAAGATGACTTTACAGGTAGAGAAACAATGCAATGGCCAAGCCTGTACAGTATTAAGTCTTTACCCTGCATTTGGTACATGTACATGTATTTAGTATTGAGTTCAGTTCAATCCCTGGCCGGGTCATACCAAAGACTTTAAAACGGTACATACTGCTTTCTCTGCTTAGCACTCAGCAGTTGGGAAGGAGTTGGGAGTTAAACACACACCACTGCCAGTGGACTAGCCCCCTGCTGTAGTGATTGCACAACTGTGTGGTCCTACGCACTATATACTATGTACTATCTATAAGACTATTTCCTGAGACGGGTGAAGGAAGCCATATACATCAGGGCCTATCAGTGTCACCCTTCATTGAACCGCGACGGGGTGCCGACATCGTCTACCAGATACCTTTGACCCAGTGTTGACGTCACACTTCAGAGAAGCCATGTGACAAGCCTCACTGGGTCAGTCTACTGAGGAAGACCAGAGAGACTGGTCAAAAGCTCTAGGTCAGAGAATTTTTTTGTGTTGGACCAAAAGTTTTAACTTTGAATATATACTATGTAGGTGTGGGAAGGAACTTTTGACTTACCGGTAGTGAATGTCAGTCTCCTGTTTGTCTTCAGTGTTGCCCTTGACCCAGCCCTTGACGTAGATGTCGGACATTTTCTCCCCGGTGAAGAAATCGTCGTCCTCAGCCACCACATCGTCAGTGTTCCAGATGATCACTCGCAGCTCGTAGCTGTGGGGAGGAGGGAAGATGTTTATAGTCATTAAGCACGTGTTACAACATCCCTTGCACCTTTCATGTGTCCCAACTGTGGTCGGACTGCCATGCGAAGATAGGGCTGATTAGCCACACTAGGTGCTGCACACAGCCACAACACCAGACTTAAATTTCTCCCTGATCTTGTGGACATACAACTCTAATTCAAGAGAACCATTTCCATTCCTAGAACTACCAAAAGGACCTCAGGAACTATGAAAATAAGTGAAATAGGAGCATGTTACACTGTACATATTCCAAAAAGGTGCTATTGTAACTATCTAAATCAAAATGTCTTGCTATATTGGCTAAACTGTGTGTTGGTTGAACAATCATTTTGTTGACTGTAAATGCCTTGTACATCACAGCTGTCAGTCATGTTGTTGAAACGAAAAGACAGAACAGTTAACTACAGTAACTACATGTTTCCCCTGATGAAATTAATAAACCCACAAATGCTCTCACCTCTTGGGCTTGCGAGGGGAGATGTCAGTGGGGGGTCCAGGCGGGGGCATGTCCATGGGGAACATGTCCACCCACATCTCGATCTTGCCCTGCTCTATGCCCGGCTTTTCAGGGTTGTACAGAGGTCTGGTCTCCACGTGTTCAGGGACCAGCGGGCAGCCGGCTTTAGCGATCTCGTGCCACTGGTTCAGCGCCACCAGGGCAGACGGTTCGTCAGAGGGCCTCTTCCCACCTGGAAGGAAAGGTGGACAAAAATTGTGTAAATGTTGAATGACTGAACAAAACACATTTATTCTATGTTTATATTTAAAAAATGTAAGTAGTTCCATGTACAATTAGAGTGATGTTAGAGTGTGATCCTTTACTACATCTACAATGGCTATGGGGAAAACTTGCATAAGGAGTATGAATTTTTCTTTGCTATTGAACATCAAAAACCAAGAAAGTTACAATTATTGTATCTTGTATACAATCGAATTGATTACTCTTCTATCTACAACAAGACCAATTTACTAAATACTCATTAAGTTATATGCATTAATGTTACATTGTTGGAGTAAGTTCTGTTAAAATGTAATTACTGGTCTTTCTCCATGGTGCTGAAACAGTTGTTGCACCAGGCTCTATGTAAGAGCATAGTACAAAACTATGTCAAACAACACCATTCTATGATTCTATGATTCCACTTTCCCATAACTTAGGCTTTGAGTCCTTTGTCTTGATAAGGATCAGAGATCTGACAGAGTTTGTTGGGAAGCACTTAACTTCTGTGTACAGTTATAGTCTTCGAAACGCCATCACAGACGAACTTTCATTCCAATATTGATTCAAAAGAAGTTACCATTCTCGTCCTCCACTTCCTTAGCTCCCTCGAAGACGCGCCCCCCGACGCGGACCTTCCCGGGGCTGAAGTGCGGTCCGTCCACCTTCCCGTCCTTACACAGCTTCTTCAGGATCTCTGTAGGCTTCTGGGGGTCGCGCCACTGGTTGTAGCCATGGCTGAGGGGCAAACATAGGCAAACAATTACAAAATTGTACAGTTTCTAACATTGTTAGCTTCTGGGGGTTGTGCCACTGGTTGTAGCCATGGCTATGGGGCAAACATAGACAAACAATCACAAAACTATAACATTTCAGCACATCAGCAGAACGTACTGCACCTGTGCAAAATCTGTAATGTATTGTGCATAGCATTTCGGCATATAAGGATGTATTTAACATTTCCCGCTGGGGATCACGCCACTGGTTGTAGCCATGGCTATGAGACAAACAGGTTACGAGTTATTCCTGATGATTGAGGAATTTTCCCCACACTTACAGAAGCTGTATGAAAGCTTCATCAGTCTACAAGCCTCTTTGGCAGCAACACCATTGTTATTTCTGATGCAAAATGTAGCAAACAGACCATGACTTAATGTCCTGTCCTCAGGACTGCCACCTTTTCCAGTAGGCCACATATGGGGTGAGCTTAAAAAAGCAAGGATTCAAACTCACTACCTCTTGATCCGGAGACTGCCAATGGATACTTTCTTGAGTCCATTAGCTTTTACACAGTAAATAATTATATGTAGCTAGTCTTACTGGAGTCTATAAAAATATCAGCTATGAACAAAAGTACATTTAATTTAATATTTCAGCTATTTACATAATTCACTGACAGATAGCTTCAGCCAAGATTTAACCACTAGAGTGTGCATGCTACTGAAGTGTTCAACACCCAATGGTTAAACCCTTACATGGCATAGAAGCTTGAGACTCCGCAGGTGGCGCGGTGGCAGCTGTAGTAGCTTCTATGCCATGTACTACTAAGTATTGAAACATTGGGTGTTTAAAACTTACATGGCATAGAAGCTTGAGACTCCGCAGGTGGCGCGGTGGCGGCTGTAGTAGCGGTTCTCCAGGTCGATCTTGGTCTCCCCGATCAGGTCGTCGATCCCGACCAGATCCCAGTCGAAGATCTGGACACACAGCATCGACTCCATGGGGAAGGTCGCCTCAAAGTCAAATGACCTGCGGAATGGGGGAGGGGGGAGGTAGTAGTGTTAGGAACAACATCTGATTTTAGAACAAATGGAACTGCCTTAGCTACCAGTGTAATCTGTTAGCCATTGTCTTGTCAACAATCAGTTAACTAACATTAAATGTATGCCTGGTGCAAGACTGAGTGTACGTTTTCAATGTTCGTAAATTTGAATAGAAACATCATCTATATCCAATGTCTATACTGCTGCAGGGATCCCTGATACAGGAATATGGAGCAGTTGGCTGCTACTACTCATAAAAGGGGTGAGGATAAGACTGTGCTAAGAAGGTATCATTGGAGGCTTTTATAAAGTCCTTTGGTCTTGATTTCTACAGACAAAAAAATTTATTACCACATCAAAACAAGAATATATGTGAGAAATTATCTCTCATTAGAAATTATTGAAAACAACCATTTTCTTAGGCACAATACTGAGCTGCTGAGATATACATGTAGTACTGGTCCAATACTAGTAATTATATGACATAAAGCCATCCTAGATTAAGAGGAAAAAGTGACATTCCTACTTACTTGCCAAAGACAGGGTTGAGTTGTTTGGACACGTAGTTCTCCTTGTCATTCACCTGGTGCTTGCCCAGGTTTAACTTGAGGTATGGGTCAGCCTAACGGACACAAGTCCCACAAACGTTCAGCAAACGATGTTGTCATGTTCTTCATCATGGTACCAGGACCAAGCAAGGAACAAGCCTGTTTTTTTGTATCCTTTCCCACATTTTTTCCTTCAATAATTCTGTTCTCGTTCTCTTTCTTTTTCAAAGAGATACTACTAACAATAGTTCTCTTTTGGTTAAGATTTTATCGCTTTATGATTGAAATTCTAACACCATGATGCAACCAAAGGTGTGGAAGCTTCAATCTTTTTTTGGTGAAAATTAGGAATGTCAAAATTTCTGCAAGAATTGCTGTAAAGGTTTGATTGGTGTGAGGTTAATAGTCGAGGTAGGCAGGAGGAGGCAGCACACAACATAGCGAAGTAATTCTCCACGCACACGAACAAAGCAGAAGCCATGCAGCAGGCAGAGGAGTACGTGGGCTGTGTTGAGTTACAACAAATGGCGATGACATGCAACCATACCCTAACGTCCAATGACTGTCTAGTCTGAATGTCCTGTTTTAAGAATTGTCTGTTTGTTTGTTTGTTTGTTTGTTTGTTTGTTTGTTTGTTTGAGCCTTTGTTAATGATAAACTCAAATCAGTCTGCTGACCAATTTTCATTGAGGTCATGAGGCAAGACATCAGGGTCAGACAAAATGTGACAAATTTATCCTCAAACACATCCATGAAACTCTTAGAGTTCAAAGTTTCCTCTTTGACAGGCTTTTCAATATATGTGTACGTGTAGCTGCATGTCTGTCAGTCACTTAGCTGTCATGCAGGTCACACAATGTCACGGCACATCACAGGACAAGTAGAGTATGGTAAGCATCAAACAAACTTTCCAAGTCACGTTATGCCGTTATAACATTGAGCTCACAACAGAGCAGATGACGTCATGCATATTATAAAGGAACGTACACAAAGACACTGGAATGGGATGGGGGGCGTCACATGTACATGTATGAGGAGAGGCAGTTAAAGCCAGCCAACAGGAGCAACTACAACATCTGAGGCCCACACAAGAAATTGTGGTTACATCTGATAATTTGGATTGAGGTGAGTTTGGCTAAAAGGATACGTGTGTATAACAAAAAATACATTCTTTAGTGATGTATTCGGCTTAATAAAAAATGTTTGTTAGAAATATAAATAGATAAAGGAAGATAGTATAAATTTTTTCTTTAGTTGTTTAAGTCAGACATCAGATATCCCAAGAATCTGTGTGGGTCTCTTTTCTACCACTTTTTGCGCAACAGTAGCGGTTAGCTCAGTCCTTGCTTCTTCCTAGTCTAGCCGACCGTTCCACACAAAAGTGCGCACATCAACAGGACTTCTCATGGCACGTCTTCAAATTTAAGATCCACAAAATGTTTTGGGCCCCCTCAAACTGTTTTTGGCTCTTGGCAAACCATTTTGGCCTCACAAACTGATTTGGTAATCCACAGAATGTTTTGGCCATTCAGAAACTGTTTTTGGACATCCAGAAGCTGTATTGGCACTCCAGAAACTGTTTTGGCCATTTAGAAACTGTTTTGGACAGCCAGAAAAACTGTTTTGGCCATCCAAAAACCGTTTTGGATATCCAGAAACTGTTTTGGTCCCCAGAAATTGTTTTGGGTACCAAAAAACTGCCCCCCCCCCAAGAAACTGTTTTGGTCATTTACATACTGTTTTGGACCGCCACAAACTTTCAATTGATTTTTGGAGAAGTCTGCCCAATTTGTCTACAACTGGCTACTTTGTCAACTGCAGGAATTTTACAGCCAATCATAAGGGAATGGCAAATGCTGAACAATTCTCATTTTGTTCTCAACAATCTTAAAGTCACCCTTTTCCCATGCCAAGAAGTCAGCTGATGACATGTGCACAAGGAATGGTCACAGGACACACTGCTACAGGTCTAAAACACTGCCGCACGACACGACACGAGAGTTGTAAGAAACGTTAGTCGGACAAACCTTGCCGTTTACATCGGCAGGGTGCAGATCAATGGCCTGGAGGGAGAAACAGACAGAGGAAAAATCTCAGAAAGTCTCATGTTCAAGGAAAAACACACAAACCTTTCCATTCGCATCTTGAGGGTGTAAGTCTGTTGCCTGGAAGAGAGTAGGGAATATATGTGCATCATTATCATATCAACACATTTATTGTTAGAAACTTGGGATTTTTCATTTTCCACTGCTTCCAAAAAAGAAGTCAGACCCCGAATTAGTAACATAGATATATAGCCTTATTATATCATATACTAGCAATGTACAAAGTAGTGTAATCCTCCTTGTCTGTCTAGCATGTACACTCACTCACTTTGTGCAATGCCATGTACATGTACATCAGCACTTGTTCACTAGTCTTGTAATTGGCACGAATGGGCATGAATTTGCAATAAATTTTAATCATCATCATTACAAAAATATAATGAAGTCCATTGTAAAGACATGCGTTAGAGGAAAGAATTATTCAAGTTAGTGATAATCAGTATCATGACACAACATGTTATAATTTAAAAACGTCAGGACTGTATATCAAGTCTTTGGTGTATTTCAGAATCTTCAGTCATTTCTCTGCTCTAGTAGCTTAACAGTTTTCCAAACAAGCCATGTCTGAGGTATACACTCCATGGCTTCCTGAATTCTCCCATGTTGATGACCACTAATTCCTACTGGCTCCGGCCAGATTCTGAGACCTTTGGCCTCGTGTCGAGCTGCCTGTCAATCTTTCCCAACCCATGTGCTGTCAACCTGTGCATATCAATCAATAGTTTGTGCTTATAAACCTGCATTTCCCCTCTGGTCTCTCAATCACTGATGAAAGCTAGTGGATACTAGCTGAAACGTCTGACGTTTTCAAAATCATATCCAGCTGCTTGAGTAACTGCTTTTTGGCATACTCTGTCTGTGGATACAAACTCACAGCTCAGCCACCCAAAACAACACTTTCATACGTGGAAGTAAATTAAATGAATTTCATCTTAGGAAGATTGTTTAGTTACCTTGACGATGTAGACTCTGACAAGCACCCCGACAGGGTCATTGTTGGGGATGTGGGCAAACATGCCGGTCGGGTTGACCATCTCGCCCCCACCAATAACACTGCCGGTGCCATCGTCTCCCTCCTTAGACTTGTACACTTGCAGGCAGCCCTACAGCAAGGGGGGAGGAAACAGACGTTAACTTTAAAAAAGTTCATCTGTGTTGGTATACTTCATTATGACAAAAAGGACTAAGTGTTCTTTCCAACACCGACTTTCCGACGTCACGTCCCGGAAGCTGCAGTAGAAATGTCCATTCCATGAAGTCTGCCGAAAATTTGTCCCAATTTACTCAGTGTTGGAAAGTGGAAAGAACGTTTAGTCCTTTTTGTGAAATATTAACTTTAACAGCAGTAAGATCCCAGTCAGGTTCACTGTACCATCATGGTACGATTGCAAACCTTGTTCTCCAAGCAGAAGTTTAGTCTTGGGCTAATTTTGGAAGTGTTTTAACTTTTTTTATCAGCCTTTGTTTTTAGTTCTGGTATCCTTTTGTATGTGTTTATATTGGATACTGGCTTGCCAATCTGATACTGTATTGTAGCCAACAATGACCTGCTTGGAGACTAGGTATTCCTGGGATAGTTGTGCATGTGTTATACAAGTTTTAGCTATCAAAATGTCTTAGTATTAGAGACTTTGTTGGCAGATGTGCTTTTTTCAGATTAAATAGTGGTCATCTTGAGTGTATATGAATGTAGGTAAAGCCACAGCAAGTAAATTTTGTGCATATGTATAAATTATGTATACATGTACCTGCCTTGATTTTTGCATGACATTTTGTTGAATAAAGGAATAAAAGACTTGTTGGTCGTGATGTCATGTCTTGTCATTGCAATTCTTGATACAAAGTTTATGTTATGGTTTGGCATCTTGATTTTCTCCCTTATCTTCCAAATTTGAAGCCAAGAATGTCATCCATAAAAGTTTCTTCCTGTGGCTTATAAACTTAAAGTACTATTATACCAGGAGGGCAAAGCAAAGATGTTGACTATGGCTCAGCATTCCTGACCCATGCAAGACAAGCCATGCAGGCGGCAGGAGGCGACATGGCATGGTCAGCATGAGATGGCTGTAATGTGGGCGATGAGGCTGGGAATAACATGTTGTGTTTCTGATTTCTGTCCTGGGAAAATTAGGGTCTGTAGACAGGGATTCTCCCTTTTTTTCTTTCCTTTTGTTAGATTTTGGTTGAAGTGCTACAACAAATACAGTCGTTTGGTCCTAAAATTAGGGTAGAGATTCTCTTTTCTCTTTTTCTTTTTAGATTTTGGCTTAAGTTACGCAACAAAAACAGCTTAACGATGCAAGGCTAAAATACATCAAGACCAAGGCTGTTTCCTTTGCCCATCCTTCCATCTGCTTCTGGGGAAGGTACAAATATTTCACCTAATTTACTCAATAAAGACTTCCCTCAATTCAAATATTTTGTGGCTTTGGTTGATCCCAAAAAGGCTAGGTTGAGCAGGTTTTATTGGGGCTGTCTGGTTGGTTGGTTGGTTGGTTGGTTGGTTGGTTGGTTGGTTGGTTGGTTGGTTGGTTGGTTGGTTGGTTGGGAAACCAGAAACACACATTTTTCCCTAGTCCTCAGGAGGCTAGTATGTCAGCTCTGTGGTGATGATGACCCTACAGAAGTTACCGTGTCGTCATCGACATTTGACGGGTCTACGGTCGACCCCTCGGCTACTTCGAGCTCCTCTATTTGGGAGCCCTTATGGACTACCAGGCAGCCCTGGGCACATGACATGAGCACGGGAGAGAGGCACACAGATACACAATTAGCACAGGAAACAGAGATGAACAGCTACATGTAGGTTGTTGAGCATCACTGCAAACCATCACTGCCTGACCCATGAAGAGTGAAAATAAGAGAGTTGGTGTAAGGAATTGGTCACATTCATCGTTTAATTGTAACCTGAGTACATGTGTCATACAAAATTCAGCTGTCATCTAACAGAGAATTCAGGCTGTCTTACATCCTTGTCTGTAGTAGGGTCTGTCACAGCCTGATTGAAAATTTTATGACACCAAAATTGTAAAACGACCTACGATGAATGTGACGACACTGGCAGAAACAATGTAGTACAGTTGCAAATTAAAAGTGTACAGTTTTGCAGTTACCGGTATTGCAGATCTCTTTATCTCTTCAGATAAAGAACACAGTAACTATTTCACTGCGTGTAACTGAAAAGAAACTGGTGGTGTTTTTTTGGAGTGGTGTGCGTGATAATTTGCAGTGAACACTGTGAAGAAATGGGAGGTGTGAAAAACACAGTGAAGAAACTGCCATTTAGGGTGGAGAGGGAATGCTGATACAGTGAAGCAACATCAGGGAAGCTAATATGAAAAAAAATATGGGATAAAGGATTAAGACTTGCAGACAAGGAGAGAGAGAAAGAGAGAAAAAGAAATTGAAGAAAGAGTGCTCAATTGTGAGTTCATCAGATTCGTCAACTGAAAAAATGCTACCTTTTTATATGATATTTTATTAATCGTCATTAAGTGTACAAAAATATCATATTCAAATTTGAATATGCTATCAGTGACACAGTCAACCATACAAAGACAAGTCTTACAGAACGCTGTAAATCAGAACTTAAAACGTTTGCTTTCAGATCATAATGATTACTGCAATTCCTGATTTTTCACAGATGTCTCACTGCTTTTTGTAGTCACTTCAGAATCTGTACCATCCTCTTATTAGTACCATTATCAAATCATTTGTCTTTCATCCCCTCCCTGTAGTTGCAACTATCATGAAAATTAAGTTCAGCAAACATGTCTTTTTTCCTGAGACCATGAAACTTTGCTACCGTGAAGACAAAGTAAACTAGAGAAGTAACATTTGCAAAGCAAATGCATAATTTTTACCTTGGGACACGGTCTGCTCTATTAATTCTTACTCAAACACATTCACATACATGCACTACTAGTATATAGTGACAGGAGCAGAGCAGACCATGAAATTGCAGCATTATGTAACCCAACACCAGTCACCATGGTGACAGACATCAACAAATCATGTCGTTGGTCAGGTCAGAGGTCACTGTTTGGAGAAGAAGAAGAGGAAGAAACTGAGCAAAAACAATATGTTTTCCTATGGTAAACATACATAATTACACATCGTCGTACCTTAAACTTGCCGACGATGCGGGAGTCGTCGTCGCCCTCCTCTTTCTTCCCTCGCAGCAGCTCGAAGGTGTGCAGCCACTCGTGGAACCCGTTAAAGTCATCCACGTCTTCCAGAGGACAGGGGTAGATCTGGTGGGAGGGGGGTCAAACAGGGTTAACATCACATCCGTGAATAGTTTCATCAGGTTGATCTGTGTCCATATCACCATAGTCCATAATATCGCCACCTTGAGAAAAAGTGTGCTTAAAGATATTTTTACTGCAACATACCCTAGGTATGTACATTTGAGGTGTGCAGGAGTGCATACCAAAAGTATGTAGCAGTAAAAATATCTTAAAGCACACTGTTTCTCAAGGTGGCGATATTATGGACCCTGGTGATATTATGGACATGGATGTTAAGTCTGAGTAAAAACTCTTTTTTACACAACCAAGTCTTTTATTCAGCCGACGTTAAGTCAGAATTGTCCTGAGGAAGGTGACAGACGTTCACCGAAACGTCGGCTGAATAAAAGACTTGGTTCTGTAAAAAGAACCTCTTTACTCAGAGTTATCATCAGGTTCAAAGCAGTCTTTCAAAGCACAAGACAGTCAGGACACAAAAACAGCAAACAAACACAAAGTACAGTCAAACCCTTACAAGTGACCACCTCTACACAAAGTCCACCCGGCCAGGAGACTACCGTACGTTTTTTTTTAGACAGTCCCTGGACAATTTTTCCCATTAAGAATCCTGTCTACTACGTCGATGAAGGTCAGACATCCAGGTAGTACGATATGCCAAAAAGCAGTTACTCAAGCAACTGGATATGATTTTGGAAATGTTTCCAAAACATATCCAGTTGCTTGAGTAACTGCTTTTTGGCAATCCTGTCTATTGTGACCACCTGTCTACATAGACCAGATTTTCTTTGTTAGTGGTCTTCTTAGGCAGTTTTGACTGTACAAGACAAGCCATGTTGCAACTTCAGAAGTTAAATGCCAGACTAGCTGGCAGTTTTCAAGCCCCCAAAGCAGGCAACATTCCTTTACCATTGGCAAAATCTAAGGTTAGTATGTTTAAACCCTTCAACATAACAAACTCCATGGCTTTGGCTTTGGTGCAGATGGTTGTTATGTTCAACAAATATCAAGACTGCACTGCAACTGCAAAATCAGCACCAAGGAGAGGCAGTCAAAAAGAATATTACCCTATGGAAGAATTTTAAATTGTTTCAATTGAAAGAAGCACTTGCTTGAAATCAAAATGAAGTTATTAGAATAATAGGTGGTTTAAGCATTAAAAAAATTGAAATAAGTGAAATTTCTAAATTCTCTGAATATGGCAGCAAAATGTCATGAAGACTAGTGCAATGATTGTCATGAAGTTTTGACTTGGCCAAAATAAAAAGCAGTGCCTTCTTTCATGATTTCTTGCTTTTAGAGTAGACATGATGTAATGATATCATGAGAGTTCATCTGTGTTGGTAGTTACATGTTTAAAGTTAAAACTTTGGTCCAACACAAAACATTCTGTCAAAGAAGCCACGTGACAAGCTTCACTGGGTCAGTCTACTGAGGAAGACCAGAGTGACTGGTCGAAAGCTCTAGGTGAGAGAATTTTTTGTGTTGGAGACCAAAAGTTTTAATTTTAAACATGATGTTATGATATTGCCTACCAATAATTTGCACAAGCCTACCAATATTTATAATGAAAGTTCATCTGTGTTGGTAGTTACATGTTTAAAGTTAAAACTTTTGGTCCAACACAAAACGTTCTCTCAAAGAAGCCACGTGACAAGCTTCACTGGGTCAGTCTACTGAGGAAGACCAGAGTGACTGGTCGAAAGCTCTAGGTGAGAGAACGTTTTTGTGTTGGACCAAAAGTTTTAACTTTAAACACCTACCAATAATTGTTGTAAACAAAAACACTAATTACTAATTTTTTTAATACGTGTGTGTGTGTGATGAGAAAGGTTAGATGAAAGCTGCTGGCAAAAACACCACCACCCTGGCAACCGGGTATCAAACAACACAGTAACAAGTCACCTTCAGCTGCTCTATACCCTCATAGATGTTCCGCTGAACATTGAACAAACACAGAACATGACATCAACAACAAAACAAACAAACAAACACACAAGTACACAAACTATAGACAAACATAGAATTGATTTAAAACAATTTAACAGCAAAATTATGGGTGGCAAAATTAAGGGTATTATGTAAAATGCCATCTTTTAAAGAAAACAACTGATATAACAAGTTGAATATTAACTTAAAACTAAGAAATTTAACTTGACTATTTTTAACGCAATTGTGCTTTCTGCAACAAGATGTACTGGTAATTCAGCCCCTGACTGCAAGTTTCTTGTTTGATTAATAAAACGTTTTGATTGATTGATTGATTGATACGATTGATTGATTGATTGATTGATTGATCGATTGATTGACTGAAGAAAGAGACTTACCTTAAGCTCGGTGACCCCAGAGTTCTTATCCTTTTTGCGGGACGTCTTTGGGCTCAGTTTAGCGAGTTTGGATTTTCCCTCCTCCCCGGCCTTGTTGTCACCGTCCTTGTCTTTGTCCTTGTCTTTGTCCTTCTTCTTGTCCTTTTTCTTATCCTTCTTCTTCTTCTTCTTGTCCTTCTCTCCCTCTCCCTCACCTGCGGGTCAAAGTGTAAGGGGCAGAGGGCAGAGGTTATATTGGAGGGTTCGTGTGAGAGTCTGGGAGGAACCATTGGCGCATCATCCCAGGGGGTAAGCTGTGAGACAGCTGTACAGACCACGCAAGGAAACCAACATCGCCGTGAGCGATGCTGGTGTAAAAGAAGTCACTCAAGAAGGCATTCTGGTGGTTCCTACAGGAAGGTGGATGCTTGTTGCCAGAATGGTAACGACTGATGATTGCTAAACACTTTTTCACTACATTTGGGGAGAGTAAGTAGGACTCTTATTATCAGAATTGTGTTGTTTTTCTTTTTGTCTAGGCAATGAGACAAATATAAAGCCTTGTGACGTCTCGTCTCTAGATATTGCAGAAATTTTAAAGTGCTGCAAACTTTCCCTCCAAGCTGTGCAAAGTGCTATTACACCATCCCACAGAAAGCTTGAAGGCCCACATCTATATAAGGACATTAATGTTCACTAAACATTTACTGATTTAGCTTCAAATTAAAACCCAATAAAGCTTGCTATTCTTGCTCTCCAAGCATAGATTTGTAAGATTGTAACTTAGGCCACACCAAGTCATTTTGTTGGTTCTCGGATATCTTTAGTTCAAAAGATAGCAAGTGGACATCATCATAAAATGAGAGGGCTAGGAAGAAAACTACAATATGGCTGTATTTACTACACTCTGAGTCCACCAAGGCATCAACCTGGTCCTCAGACTTCGCTTTCATTAGGGTTTTTTTCCAGTTATTAACCATATTTTCAAAAAATCCGAGAACCAACAAATCAAATTGGTGTGGCCTTACGTCTTTGTACCATTTTCTTCCCACCAGCATCTTGCTTATTGTAAATATTGAATAATGTGTTGCCTGCCGGTTGGTTGAGACTTCATCAACAAAGCATCTGCTTGGACATTAGCTACTCTGGAGTGGACCTTAAAGCTTTTTGACGGTAGCCAAGAAGCAAGTTGCACAACTTGGTGGGAATGTTTAAAACGCTTCAGGACGGTGGGTGTGCTACTCTTTAGCCTGATGTGCTTCTTTTACAGTGTCTTTTTTTTCTTTTCTTTGAAATTTACGTACACCACAGGGAGGGGTGCAAGAGGCAGGTAGAGACATGAAATTTTTTACAAACGACACACCAAATAGTGCAGAGTGCAGGCGTGCCCTGGCAAGTCACGGTGCCAAGTGTGAGGCAGACAGAAAACAGCCTCCAGTTTAATCCTGGACTTCCGGTCTAGTTCCGGACTAACTCCCATGTCTCAGCAACCTTACATCTAGATGGGCTACTATTGTTCACTATAGGTAAAAATGATGCAAATATGACTATTGAATATTGTAAAGTATAGGTAAAAATAATGTAAGAAATATGTATATGTAGCAGCCATCAAGGACCCCTTGGGGATTAACAAAATTCTGCAAAATACTAAAGAATTCTGGAACTGGAGCCAGAATTCTGTGTAGTATTCTGCAGAATTGGGTTAATCCTCAAGAGGTCCTCAATGGCTGCTACACATTTCTTACATCATTTTTTCCTATAGTTTACGATATTACTATTAGCCCATCTAGGTTGCTGAGGTATGGGAAATAGTCCGGAAGTAGACTGGAAGTCCGTGTTAAACTGGAGTCTGTTAGAAGAAGGTGCGAGATGTGAAGACTGGGTGACACACATGAGAAGTTGTGTGCTGTGTGACTGCAGTGTGCTCACAGTACAGTACAGTAGAGCTCGTGTGATGGGCAACACTTAAAAACACGACTATGCAGGTGCACAGTTTTAATTAATTAACAAATGTCTCAGTCTGTGTTGTCCTTGGTGGTGTGGAGAGATGAAAAAACGTTAAGGAACAGAAGCGTAATCATCTCGTGATGTAGCTTCTCATGATAGAGAGAGAGAGAGTTGTGTCCTGCAAATCATCGAGTGGATGGAGGCTATGAAAATAAAGGGAGTGGAGGAAGGACAGAGGAGTGGAAGAGGACGGGGGGAGGGGGGGCGCATGCAGACCCCAGAGGCAAGGCAGCTGCGACAGTTGCGAGAAAGAGAGTGTTTTGTGCGCCAGCCATGCAATGCGACGGCAGTGCATATAACTGTGCCACTCTCTCACTTGGACAGTCTTGCTTTGCTTGTGTGCTCTAGTAGGAACTCTTAGTAAGTGGAACTTACCACGGTATTTCACAGTCTTAGTAGCTGTGGTGGACAGGAATTTTCCTTTCGGTGTGCAGACAACATAGGTTATGCAGATATAGGGTCAGAGGTCATAGGTGATGCTGATCAGGGTCAAAGGTTAAACTAGGCAAAGAACACCAACTATAGCTATTAAAAGTAACTACGGGGGTACGGTTGCCGATTATTAGCTGCAGCCAGACAGGAAAAAGGAAACGCTGAAAAAAAAAGACACTACGGAAAGGGAAGGAAAGGATTTTGAGAGGGGAAGGCAATGCCACTCTGCCCTGCAGGGCTACATAATGGTCATGGGGATATTGAGTGTGAAGCAATGGTAACACCCACATACACCTTGCCTATAGCGGAATATTGTCTCTTGTTATAACTGCTGCTATGATGATATGCTGCCAAAGCCAAGTCTCTATTGCCTGATTTTTTTTTGCCTTGCCAGGGCAGTAAAATGTAATCTCAATTAAAAAATTTAATCTCTGTCATTTTTTGCATGTCCTGACTTATTTCTTCTATTCTAAACATCTCAACCATATCAAACACATTCAGGTGTAAAAATATATCAATGAAAGGTTCCCCATGCTTGACAAGGGAAGATGAAGTCTTACATACTGATAATAATGAAATGGACACAGCAAGATGCTTCAAAAAGGCCCACATTAAAAAACTATCCGGACTGTGGAATACCCTCACAACATGCAAAGATTTGGTAAAAAAATTTTGAAAAAATTGGATTGGATGACTTGGACAAAGTGTGTTGACGTGTCAAATGGTGACATAAAAAGGCTAACAAAGCTGAAGCCATTCAGACATGACATGGGGTGTGTGTGTCAAAAACTGGAGAAAATGCTTCTCCCCTTTAAACTCTGCCATTATGTTAATATACACTGTCTTATTTTTCTCCATAATCCTTTTTATGTGTAATATTTTCTATGAAAATGTCATTAAATTTTACTGTAAAATTTGTCCTTATACTAATTTATTGAGAGCTTCAAAATAAGCTAAAAGAAGATGATGAATAAAAGATAAAGTTTTTATTTATTTTGATGATTAAGAATAACATTTATCATTTTAAACAGTCTATGTTTGGATGATTGCAGTAACTGTTCACTTACCTGTGCATGAGCAAAATTAATATTGAATATACTTGAAATGGACTACATCATTCTTGAAAATATCATGTGCTTTCTATTTATCATTTTTTATGTGATTTAAATGGTGTAGAATTACTTTCAAGGTATGCTTTGTTAACAATCACTTCAGACTAGTGAGTGGCCATGGAATATGTTGCACACATTTCAAGCTGCACATGACTGTATGAAGGGATATGATAATAAATGGTACAACACTCAAAGACAGTAAAATTTGCAAACCTTGCATTTTTTTAATCAAACACTTTCTACAACAAGTGTTATGGAAAGTACTGAGAGATATACATGTATGGACAGAGTATTTTAAGCAATTTACATGTTTTTGTATGGATATGGGCCACAAGCCTGAGGTAAAACAAACACAACGCAGACAGCTTACCTTTGTCGATGACTTTGCCGTCAGTCTGGCTGTCTTCTTTCTCTGCTTCTTGTTCTTCCTTCTTCTCAATGGCCTCCTGTTGTTCCTGCCACTGTAACCATCATGATGAAGAACAATTCATTTTAGAAAATTGATGAAAAATGGAAGTAGACCATGTCAAAGACATTGTAGAAAGACTGTATACTATGTGTGAAACGTTCTCATAGCCTTCATTATCAAATTTAAGACAGGGGAGGGATCCTTCCCAGTGTGAGTGAGTCAAAACCATTCCAGTTTTAACAGTGTTGGGTTGTTCCTTTGGCAGACTTCATGAATAAGCCTATTGGGTCAGTGAGCCTTTAGTCTGAGTGAGTCAAGAAGGGATGCTTAGCTTGAAAGCTGCTCTATTCGTGTAACCATAACCCTGCAGTGGCCTTTGGGTCTTGTTACGAGTCCTGTGACTTACACTTACTCAGAATTATAGAATCCTGTATTTTTTTTACATATACGAGACAGTAAGAGCGTTTCAGCAAGTTTGGTCAAAGGCCAATGTTTCTAGATCCTTCCAATTCAAAAACTATGTTACATAGTGACCAATGAGTAAAAATATAAGGAAAAATTAGCCAAATGCAACAAGAACGAACCTCTCGGAGAGTCTCCAGCGATGCGAAGTACTTGGACCACCAGTCCAGCGTACTCTCATCTGTCTCCTCCTCAGGCTCCTCCTCCTCCTTAGCCCCCTTCTTCTTCTTCTTCTTCTCTCCTCCTTCTTCTCCTCCTCCCTCTCCCTCCTTCTCCTTGTTGTCACCCTGGAGAAACAGGAGATAGAAAAGACCGATCAGCAGCTGGTACTTTTTTTCAGTAGTTTCTCTAACAAAGTGAGATTCAAACAACTGCACTTTACCACCAGTAACAATAATATACAACATTCAAAGTGGGTCAACATTCAAATTGGGCAAAAAAGTTATTATATATCACTTTGAGATGGAACAACTGCCAAATTATGTTCTCAATGTAACGTCAGATGTGTGAATTTCACCTCCAAAATCTACCCATCTACAAAACACCATTACAAAGTGGTATAGTACAAGCTACTTTGAGATACTACCCATACCTCCCTCTAATGGTTAGAACAAGAAATTCAACATGCGTTTTGGTGCAATTCTGTTCTACAGACTGTGTGTGAGTTTCTGCTCAAATCTACATTGATTACCCATCTGTTACCCTTAAACAACAAGCTGGTGACACTCCTAGGCTAGATTCACACCACTAAACTATTATTAAGGGCATACACTACAAGTCTGCACGACTACAGGAGCACACGTGGGGGAGTGCAGGGAAAGGAAAGAAGCACAAGTCCACACAAGACCACGAGCAGGCTTTCAGGCTTTTAGCTAGGGGTGTGTGTGTGTCCGGGTATTTTTTGGACCTCCTGTACTGAAAATAATCAGAAATTTCAGACCCTCCTTTTTGGCAGGACACCCTAAAGACGCCCTATTTTTCCCATTCCCAAACCCTGCCAGGCACACAGCCCTTGTCATATCCCTTCAGCCTTACTATAAATACAAAAATGATGTTGTAACAGATGTATGTATTCCTAAAAATTTGCACCTCAAAATGCAGGAGTTTAGTAGTGTTTGAGAGCATAACAAATTTCAAAAAAGACCCTCTCTAAAGCTTGTGCCTTTGCTGCACATACTTTTTTTTTACCGTTTTAACATCATTTTTCCCCGAACTGGGGGTTAGACGTGCTTGCATGAAGTACAAGTCTTTTTGTTGAAGCAAGCCTACGATAAAAAAAATGGACACCCAACAAAAGAATCCTAGCTGAAAGCCTGAGCACAAGGGAGAGAGCAGGAATGTATACCTCCTGGGACTCTGGGGCAAGCTGGCTAGCGTTCATGGAGAGATCTTTGTAAACCTCTGTCTTCGCCTCACCATTCATCTTTGGTAGGAGGGAAGAAAACACAAAACAAAACGACACGTGACAGTCACAATCAGGGTTAGCACGTCAAGTGTTCGACAACAACAACAACAACAATTATAGCTGATGCTGCAGGCTGGTCCCAAATCTTTTATTACAGCTCTTGGTGGCAAATGTGCAGATGCTGGCACAATGGTGCACCAAATCCGTAGTGTGTTTTTGGCACACAATTTGACAGATTAGCCTAAGAGGCTCGGTGGGCATCACTCCACCGTATAGGTGGGGAAGTCGTGTAAAGTGCCTTTCCCAAGGGCACAACGTCAAGGCATGGTGAGTATCAAACCCGGGAGCTCTAGGATCCGAGTCCAACACTCTAACCATTGCGCCACCGACGCCACCCAAAACTTTTGAATATGGAGGAACAAAGTATTTTCAATCTTTTTTTTTACTGGGAATTCCAATAGAAACAAATGTCTTGCTCTTCATAATGTGGTCACATTCAGTGAAGGTTGTCGTACAATTTTGATGTCGCAAAGTTTTCAAGCGGGCTGGTCAAAACCTTTGAATAAAAAGAAACAAATATTCATCTACCAGATACCTTTGACCCAGTGTTGACGTCACACCTCAAAGCAGCCATGTGACAAGCTTCACTGGGTCAGTCTACTGAGGAAGACCAGAGTGACTGGTTGAAAGATCTAGGTGAGAGAACTTTTTTTGTGTTGGATCTCAAGTTTTAACTTTAAACATGTAACTACCAACACAGATGAACCTTTATGATAGTATAAATCTGAAAGTAGTTTCAATCTTTCTGAGGATTCCAAGATGAAGAAATATTTTGATCCTTATCACGTGGTCATGTTTATTGTAGTTTTTTTTTTCAAATATTTGATGTCGCTTTGTTTTCAAGCAGCCTGTGACAGAACAAGCCACCAGCAAGGATGCTCATTGCAAGACAGCCTTTCTCATAATAAGATAGATGAATTTTTTGGTGCAATGCACGCAATGATGTGTATGACCAGGTCCGCACAGATAAAGTTTTGGGACAGCCTGAAGTTAGCCAATGCAACATTGCTATTCATAATGCTTACAGCATGCTTCAATATAATTGCCTTTACATGCAGTAAGCATAAGGGAACCAAAGCAAGCATGGCCTATCTAAAGAATTAGACTGTATCACATTATATTGCACATGCTACATGTACTAAGTTCAAATACATTATTATTAGCATGGGTTTGGTTAGCAATAAGATACATATTACATGTATTAATGCCATAAAGAATTATTAGTTAATGTTAGCATTCCCAGAAATATGAGCAGAAGATGTGTTACTTTTAATTGCAGATGAATTAAGCTTAGCTGCTAGTCTGCATATAGTAAGTAAATTAGTAATGTTATTGCAATTAGATCAACAATAAAAGCGATCATTATGTTAAAGAGCATTCACAGTTACAGACAGACAGACAGACAGACAGACAGACAAAACAACAGTCACTTAGTAGGATTGTACGCAGTCCAACAGCTCCAAAACAAGTCTGTTACTTGTGTTATTAAAGATGAAGTACTTTGATTGTTAAAAGAAGTCAACAGAAAAGACTCCGATAAAGACACACAACGGATTACAATCAACATGTGGTCAGTAATATAAAATTGGCTGTTAATTCAAAGTAAACAAACATATCAATATATCTATACATTTATTAGGAAAATTGTACATTCAAATCATGACTAAAACCTATATGGAACAGATTATCAAACAAACATATACATGTAACTGAAGGTTATATGTTTTGTCATGCTATGATCATTTTACAAAAATTACATTATTTTAAAATCTCCCACAAATATAACATAAAGGGACCGGGTGCTGTTTCAGATCATTTTTTTGGACATGCCAATTTCTACTCTTTCCAGACACTTTTGATGCCTGGTAGAGGCTAACACAGCTATCAATTATACAAAATTACATATAACATCTGTGTCCATAATATCACCATAGCCCATAAAGATATTTTTACTGCAACATACCCCATATGTACATTTGAGGTGTGCAGGAGTGCATACCAAAAGTATGTTGCAGTAAAAATATCTTAAAGCACACTATTTCTCAAGGTGGTGATATTATGGACGCTGGTGATATTATGGACACGGATGTAATTTTATGATCAAAAAACAAAACAACAACAAGGTGTCGGGTGCTAGTAGAGGCTAACACAGCTATAAATTATACAAAAAATGCATATATATTGAAAAACAAAACAACAACAAGGCACTGGATGCTGTTTCAGACCATTTTGGACTGGACCGGAAAATGAGACAAGTAGAAAAGAGAAGGAGCTGAGTGCTTACGTGTGTACTCACGGGGTCAATCTTAATGACCGTTTCTTCCTTGTGTTGGGAGGAGTGAGAGACGTGGGACATGGTGTCGATCTTGACGGCCACGTCGTCCGCGCGCACGGACCGGACCGAGCGGGTGTCCCCGCCGTGGATGGACCCGTGGAAGGACCGGCCGTCGTCTATGGGCAGCGTGCCATTGGCTGGAGGGTAAGGACAATATGGTCAAAAACCACGGGGTATTGATTGCGTGAGGCTGGAAAGAGACTGTATAAGAAGGCTCATTATTCAACAACAGAGGCACTCAGCTGCAGTACCAATCAGAACCAGTCATGGCTGCTCTTAAGAAGGTGATAGATGGTCACCAAAACATTACATGTGAAAATCCACTGGTTGTTTGATAAATAGACGTCAACCAAATCCCTCAATCGAGCCCATTGCAGGAAACTTACCTGTATACCAGTACATCCTTTTTCAACAAATTTCCTCTCATTTTCTATACAAGAATCATTAGTCTACAAGGTATCAAAGCAGATCCCCTTGGAATCATTGCTGAAGAAATGTTCAAATTCCATCTCATCGTTGTCATCTTCCCATCGCTACGAATGAAGAAATGTTCAAAGACATATTACAACATGTTACAGAAGCTCTGTATGTGGAGGGAGATCATTACCATTGAAAGCCAAGGGATAAAACCTACCAATGCTGCCCTCGGGAGTCTCCGGTGTGGGCTTGTACATGAACTTGTGCAGGGAGTTGACCACGTGGGTCCCGACAAGGGTGAAGCGGCCAAAGTTGCGGCAGTCCACACAGCGGATGGTCAGCGGCGGCATGAACAGCTCGTTCTCAGGCAGGTCCTGAAAATGTATGAGAAACATCAGTGCCATATGCATCCATACAAATGAGCATCTACATAACATCTATGGTTCGTTACCAAATGTAACTACAGTAGTCAAATGTCGACGACTAAGCTTGGCCGGTCATGTAGTACGTAGTGAAGAACCAGCCAGCCTAGCAGGCTTCTACTCTGGAACCCTGGTGATACAAAGAGAAGAGTTGGACGCCCAAACATAACACTTAAGAAACTTATTGAAGCTGAAACAGGCTTGGAGGGACAGGAACTTATCTCTGTGATGTATGACAAACAGTTTTGGCGAGCTAACTTTGTATGCTCCACCTCTACAGAGGATGACAGATGATGATGATGACATCTATGGTATGCCCATAAAACAACTGACAAAAAATTCAAATTAACATTAAACAGCAGCAGCGGCATGAACAGCTCGTTCTCAAGCAGGTCCTAAACAGAGACAGAAAAACATCAGCGCCATCCATAATGACATGGTGTCACTACAACTAAAAACTAGATGACACTACAACTAACAAAAGCTTCACATTAGTAATGTTAAACATCAGATGGACCTATAGTATGAACCTTTTTTTTTACGTTATCGAATCTGTGTGTTCCCCTTGGGCATATGTTTGCAGACAGACCTGTTATTAGGAAACATGATCTCTAGCAACAGCATGAGCCTTAAAACATTCTCCAGGGCAACAAATGAGTTAATCATAAACTGTTGTCTTTGATTTACTGATCATGACATCAATGGTCTCTTCTTGATGATTTCTAGAAACCAATGAAAACCATGTGATGCTGCTATCTAATAGCGTCTCTGCTTTCAGCACCAAGGACAGACTTACATCTGAACGCAGAAAAGTCTTTTTCTCATCTTTAGCATACTCAAGTAGCATTTGGTTACCAATTCTGTATTGTTTACATAGTTAGCAGGGCTCACATTACTTCCCTGCATACCTGCTATGGTGCATCAGAAATATATGTACCTGCACAGCTTCAATGTCACCTGCATTAAGGTGCATACATGTATGCAACTGGTATTTTGAGCCATTAGAGAGGAGGATAAGTAACCAGGAAGCTTACCACGTCGAAGAACTTGACAGGGATGCTGAAGTTGGGGTTCTTCTTGGCATTTGCGATGACGGTGGACTGTATGATCTGCCCGGCGCACTCGATGTCCACCCGCGGGCGGTCAACACTGGTCAGCTGCACGCGCTTCAGCTCACGCACGCCCCAGAACAGGATCTGGACATTCAACATGTGGTTAGTAGTCTCATCAGCAAGTCTTTTTTTATTGCATGTAAGCCATCTATAACTCTTCAATTAAATTCAATTGTCAGTAATGGTCACATTTGTAGTATGCCATCATACGATTTTGATGTGGTCTAATTTTCAAGAGTAGTGAATGTGAGTGACCAGGCCTAAGGAAAAAATAGGACTTAACTTACTGCTGTTCCTCTAAAAAGAGCTAGGGAGTAAGAAGTTTTAATAGAGTTTCTTTGTCATGTTAAAAGGAACAGTCTTTGTAAATTCCGTGGAATAAAACCAAAACCAGGTTCCAGTTTTCCTGCAACAAACCATTGTGCAGGATCTTCACTATTTTTCTTACTTCTATCCTATGCTTGCCTAAGGTATACCAGCACCAGTTTCCCTACCTCTATCCTGTGCTTGCTGACCACAGGCCTGATGCCGCGGGGCACAGGGACGATGGGGCCGCGGTCCGACTCCAGCGGTTGGGTCACTGGGGGCAGCTTGGCTCCCCTAGGGAACTGTGCACAAACATACAACATTAAAACATTACAACATGCAAGTACGTCTAACCCTTTTCATTCTTCTGTCTCGGATATTTCTAAAAGCAATACCGACTCCAGTGGTTGGGTCACTGGGGGCAGCTTGGCTCCCCTAGGGAACTGTGCACAAACAAGCACAATTTTGATCTCACAGAATTTTCACACTGTGAAAGACCTAACTGCTGATCTAAGGCAGCCTTTTTCATGACAAGATAGCTGACTTTTCAGAACTCGTGAACCACTATCCCAAGAATGCTCTCAGTTTGCAATCATATGACGATCGTGTGAGGTGTGTAACTGTGCTCTAAAGTCACCATTTTCATACTTTTGTCTCTGCTATTTGTTCATGTTCCTTCCACTTCATTCTAATACTTTTTCTAGGCGGAATGTGAACAATGGAAGGCAATGCAGAATATGAAAAAGGTTTACCTCAGCCTTTGACTTGTCGTCCCATTGTTCGTACAGAGCCTGAAGGATCTCTTCCTCGTGTATCGGCATCTGGGAGGGAACAAACCTGGTTAAAGATGCAAACCACACAAACAGCACATTTTTCTAGGGTAGCAGTTACCTACAACATTGGGGCACTTGGGGCACTTCATTTCAACTTTGTGAATAACACAAGTAGTGACCTCCAGTACTCTTCCTTGTACAGTACATCGCTATTAGTATTTATGGAAGTACTCTTTGAAAGATAATTTTCCTGTGAGCATCAATCATGTACAGTCATTTGGGTCACATCCTGTTGAAAAAATCACCCAATATAGATTGATGCCGTCTCTCTCCCAAGTCAGCATTTTACAGGCACTGCAATGCAGCTGTGAATTATCTGCACTATATCAACTCTCATTCGTGACAATCCTCTGGAAATCAGTAGCTCAACTGTTAATGCATTGAGTCACGGTCAAAGATTATTGTCGTATTTAGACATCTCACCTGTATCAGTTCGAACGCTGCCAGCAGCTCTCCCGCCTGCTCCTGCCCCCGGAAGATCGGGTACCAGTCCAGGGTGGGAGGGAACTTCGGCAGGGTGTACCGCTCGTTCGCCATTTTGATGGTCGGCTTGGCCAGCGCCCGTCCTATGAACTCTGATTTTCCCTATTACGTGGTGCACACAACCGACATGAAACATCCACTATTATGTCTAACATTCCACCGTGCAGTTATAAAATATATGCAGCGTTTGGTTAGTGGTGAGCAGCTAGCGTGGCATGCAGTACCGATGTGCACAGACAGGAGGCGTTGCTGTTAGCGTGTTTTTTTCCTCCAGGACACAACATCGAACATGCTTCTTATGTTGTTGTTGACAGGGACAAATGACAAATTTACAAATGTCTGCCGGTTGGCACAGCTATAGATGATGACTACAGCTACATGGATGTACTTTCACACGACACAGAGGACACGTTTTCCACCATTTTGACGGGGATTTACTACTAGAACTACTGTAAAGATTCTACGCTCAGAATTACTTGATGAGACATCCGGTAAATTTGTCAAGTTTGTCCACGCTTCTATGCTGTGGCGCTGGCATGCAAAGTGTCACAACACAACATCTGGCCGGCACAGCCTTGGTTTTTCCTCGTGGTGAATATTTCATGGAGTCGAAATTGGAAATTTCGAAGAACGATTCTTCTAGACATGGCTTTGACAGTAACAATTTGCAAAGTATATTGTTTTGGGGCTCCTTATTTTCATCCAAACTGAGAATCGATTTTATTCTTAGACTAGCATTTTGAAGAATGGGTCTTCTAAGCATGGATTTGACAGTAACAATTTGCTAAGTATAATATTATTGTTTTTGGACTCCTTATTTTGATCCAAGCTGAAAACCAAGTTTTTTTTGTATAATTTAGATAATGATTCTTCTATAGATATGTCCTAGACAGTAGCAACTTGCCAAGTACAAATGTAAATTGTTTTTAAACTCTTTATTTTGATCCAAACAGAGAATCAGATTTGAAAGAATTTCATGACAAATTTCGTCATTTCTTTTTCTGTCAATTTTCATATTTTAAAGAATTTTGAGAGCAAAGCCATAGTCGTCTGTTTCCTTTTGTCAATTTTGTAGAGTTTCTGTTTGAGAAAACCAACTGTACCGGCTGTGAACACCTAGGTACCTCGTTCTTCCTAGTGTCTACTCGCATGGCATGAGCCACCAAGTCTTTAGCCTGGTCAGAGAGTGCCGCATGCAAGAGTGAGCCGAGCAACCAACCATTGAACAGGACGTAACGTACGAAACGCACGCAGAGCAGGAACAACAAATCAGGACCGACCAAAGTGGAAAAACATACGGATTCCACATGCAGGCTCGACTTTCTATGGCTTTCAGAGGTTTGGTATTTTTTCGGGGGGTTATATGTATATTATACAGCTAGGGGACTCATGGTACTACCCTGTGACTTGACTCTTGCAAATGCACAACGATAAGACTGTGTGTGTGTGTGTGTACCGGGAGGTTGTGTTTCCCGATCACGTCAAAAATGAGAAAAAAAAGTCTCACACAGTCCAGACCTTTGCACATTAACAGGAGTCTCTAGCACACAGGTGGCATATATACCATGATCATGGAATGGACTAAGTCGTTTGCTACTACTTCGTGCATGGTTGATTTTTATTTTTTTTTGTGGGGGGCTATCCTTTCGCAGGATGGAATGCACAGGTGACGAAGACAGATACACACACGTGCAGGGCATAGATCTGGTGGTGATGCAACAGACTGTGTCTCTTGGGGGTTTGCTAGAATGTCTCAAAACACAATATTTAGTATTGCCAACATCATCATCATCTAGTTGTGAGAGTTTCACGGTTGTTTCATGGGTTGCCAACATAATGGCATCATGTAATTGTATTTCAAGTCCGAGACATTTTTAAGACATAATGCCAAAGATGAACATTTGTTTCACTTGCATGATTATCTCTTAATGAACTTTTAATTGTGTTTGTAATATCAAACTATAAGAGTGTGCCTGTTTAGCCTCTGATTACTTATTTACAGTGCTTGAAATAATAGCTGTTCTAGCGTAAGGAATTTGGTGTTGCCGCTGACAAAGCTGTAGCTGTTGATCCCCAAAGAGTCGTTCTTCGGTGCAGTGGTGGCTGTGCAACACTCTGATCTACTGAAGACAGGGGTTCCATTTTTACACCAAGTCACTTTCCAAAGCCTTATAATACTGTTTTCTTATTATTTTCACCATATCAGGCTACTTTCCTAAATAGAGCAATCAACATACAGGATTTTGTCACAAGCAGTGGGCTGAAGTGAATGAAATTGGTGAGTTCTGGTCCAAAATGGAACCCCTGTTGTTGTTTTTTCCTTAGTGCGTGATGTCTATATCTGTCCTTGCCTTGTCCTCCTGAGTTTTGATAGTTACCTCGGCGGAGAGAACAGTCTGTGGCGTTAGTACAATTCAGACAGGCAGGGTTTAAGAGAGCGAGACTGTTGTTAGACAGAGTGCTCGGACGATCAAGTCTGTCGGACGTACAAATCGTGCTATGCTGCTGAGGTAGTTGTTGAAAACATGCGGGGAGTAGAGTGTTGACAAAGTGTACACGTACACCCAACACATTCGTTTATCAATTAGTAAAAACTGTTAATTAATGAATTAATTAGGTGTCGCCTGCAAGAAGAATCTGTCATTGTTTTCCTTTCCAACAAACGAAAATTGAAATGTGGCTTCCTTGTTGGAGGACCCAGATGAAACAACGTAAAAAAAAAAAGCGAGCTTAGCAAAAAGGTTTCATCAGTTGGGTCTTCCAACAATGAAGTTATAAAGTGTGCAGGAAGCAGAGAAGTGAAGTGAATGCAGTGATTCTGTATGGAAGAAATGGCAGTGATGGGCATACAACATGTATAACAGTGCATGGCTAACTGTTCTGTGGCAGTGAGTTATACAGATGACATGTAGTACCGATGGTTTGGGGAACAAGACATCAACAAACAACAAAATTAACGTAACAAAGGAGGTTATCAAAAGAGTTTGGATAAGTTAGAGACTATCACAAAGCTGGGCTGGGAGAACGTAAGGATTTTACATGTGGCCATACATAAGGATTTTTGCATTACAAGTCAAATGCCATTTACCCTCAGATTGACTTTGGGCAATTTTACGGCGGAAAGAGCCTATTAGTTTTAAAGCTTATAACATTATAAGACATTTATCTTAAGCAGTTTGATACTAGTGAACCTGTTAGAAATTCACCTTTAGATTAGATTTGCATTAAATGGAAGCTTCTAATACTACTCCTGCCACCGATTTTGTTAGTGAAGCTCTAGTTACTGATTTGTACATTTTGATAATTAAAATACATGCAGTGTTAGAATATGTCCTTAAGCCCCACGTTTTGTAAAATAAAATAAAAACGAAAACCCTTTTCTCTGACCTCTGATGGCTGCCCTGCCTGTGAACAAAAAGCTCAAATTAAATTAAAAATATCTACCATGATTAATTATAAACAACGTAACATAAACTTGAAACAAGGAAAACCATATTGCAGTAGGGCAACTCTGGTGCCCAAGATGGTCTTATTTATGGCTTCTATATCTTCTACATTTCTTAAACCCTTGGAAGGAATTTTGATTGCTAATAGACTGATTGGTCATGAGAGATGCCACAGAATCACCGTTAAAATCTTTGCAGAGGGATTTGAAGTTATGCTTTGAAAGGATGGCATATATAGGATGGCATGTTGGGTTGGATTTAGAATTGAAGGAAAGATTTTAGAGAAGAAAGAGCATGGTGGAGACTGGAAGTATTGCTTGGAGTGGATGGAGTCTGTTACTGGCAACAACAAAACACTCCCACTTCCTTCTTTCTATGGCACTTCTGTTTTAACTTATTTTGACAAAACAAGAAAATTTTTGGTTAGCTTCTTAAGAATTTGTTTAAAGATTGCTTTTGCTTTAAGATTGTTTGTTTCCTTATTAAAGAATTGATGTGTACCAGAGGGTAAAAATCGGAAACTGAAGCTGCCAAAGATCAAATCTAAATCAAGTTTTACTTATTAATGATTTTTTTAATATCATCTCTAGAAATTGCAGTTTACAGAAAATAAGATTTTCATAAAAATGTTAAAAACGATGGCAAACATTGATCAAAGATGCTACCTGTAATGATTTCTGGGATTTGCACACAGACAAAGCAGCTAAAAAAAATTCACACGACAAGCAAAATTTCACGCACAAAACATAAACCGAACAAAGTGTCTTGAATGTATAATCTTTGCTAGCGAAGCACCAGGACTATGGAATGGTCGGATGGCACCACAGAGAAGTGGCGTGTGGGAGCGTTTGTTAGTTGGCGGTGGGGTGTTTGGCGGGTAGAGAGAGACGAGCGAGGGAGGCCTACCACTTGTTTGCTGGTATCCTGCAAGAGAGAAGGGAGGTCCATGGAAGGATGGGAAGAGTATACATTGACCAACACGTGCCCATTTGCAGAACTGCTTAGTGATGTTTTTGTTTAGTCTTTGATACATAACTTACAGCTTTTCACAAATTTATGAACCAGTCTGTCAAATTTTTAGGGACGAAATTTGCAGAACTGGTCTATGGTATTTTTTTGGCCTTTAATATAAAATGTGTTTGTACAAATTTCTGCACAAATTTCTCAAAAATTTTTTGTACATGTATGTTCATGTTCATACATGGCGCTGTTTAATTTCCTAAAACGAGAGGTATGACTCATCGATTTTACAAATCCAAAATTAACATTTGGATTAACTAAAAGAATTAACATTTGGATAAACGAATTTGACTTTTGAATTCTTACAGAAAAGTAATATATATTTTAGTAGTTAAAGGTAAACTGAATATGTCCTTATTCAAGTTCAAGATTGAAGATACATGTACACTTGTGTAAGTTGTAGCCATGGACAAGTTTTGGTCAGAAACAATAGCATACGTGTACAGGACACATGATCCAAGGGTGCAGATTTTAGTACAATGTTTAAGACAGTGTACAGTCAACTGGGCACCTGTTCCAACTATCGTCTGACTAAATGACGATTTTTTTGAAACATTTCAGAGTCCAGATGATCAAACATTGGTCTGACAGGGCTTGAAATACTGGGTGCATGTACACCTTAGTGCACCCAAATTTGGAGCTGTGCACCCAACTTTTTTCTGTGGGTGCACCAGTGCACCCGAATGTTTTTTGGAGGTTTACGTATATGTCAAGATGTTAAATTTAGAGTAGTAATTAGTATTCAGCATATTCTTAACATCTGAGTGTCAGAAAAATAGTAAAATCATTCTTGTAGTACTTTTCTTTAGAAACAAAACATAATTAGTTTTAGCTGACATTCTACTTATTTTATCTTATGGTGCACCCGCAGAAAATTTTGTGCACCCAATTTTTTTAGTTTGGGTGCACCAGTGCACCTATTCCCAAAAATGAATTTCGAGCCCTACATTCATGAAGGTTAGATATCCAGGTCAATGATACTAAACTATAAATACTAAATAATGTATTATAGTGTATATGAGGGATGTTCATTTTGCCTGTCTTGTCTGTTGTAATTTGTACTCAAAATCTCTGCAATTCAGGGAGTTTTATCCCTGCTGTAAGGTTTGCTTTTCGGTATCACAGATAAATAAATAAAATATACAATTCAGGCTCTACTGCTGGACAAAAAACACTGAAATTCTGAAATTACTTATGAAAATCTGAAATTACTTATTTTAATAATATGAACATTTCCTTCACTCTTCTGATTTATATGACATTGTTTTTTTTGCCTGTGGTGCACAGTTGACTCTGACATGTCTAGAAGTAATGATACGACCACAAGACAACACTCTACAGGGTTTGACACACTTCATGCTATACAACATGCCGTTAAGTGAGTGTTGTTATACGTATAAGTGCCTACATGTACATTTGTATGTGTACATCCTGATGTGCATTAATAATATATCATAATAGTTTGTAAAATCATATTCTATGATGAGAAATGTAACAGTTTATCCAAACAAATGTTCAGCATGGAGCAATTGTCTAAAGCTCCAAAATTTGCCAAAACCTTCTTTTAAAAAGAACGTTTTTCTTCCAATCATCAAACTTACACTCCATCACAATCGAAGATAATTTGGATGAGATGACTGAATCTTGAGTTGACATACATTTCTCATATCTCTACTATCATGCTTCCAGGTTCACATTGATGGTCTAATTCAATCCCAACACAATCATCACACAGATGTGCAAGCAAAACTGTCTCAGCCACCTTCGTTATGTAAAGTTAATGTTTTGAAATTTACTTTTAGCAGATTTCTTTAGTTGAGTAGCCACAAATTTGAACAAATCTTAACTCTGTAATGATCATTGTTTTGAAACATGGATGCAAGAATTTGCATTGTACTTGTAGCCAATGTTTTAGCTGAGTAGCCACAAATCTGAACAAATGGTATAATTTTGATTGTTCTGAAACAGTGATGCAGGCAACAAAAACTAACAACACCAATACACAAAACAATGGGCAGAGAGCCTTAAATACATATATTATATATGATATAGTGCACACATTTATCTTGGTGGTGAGAGAATAAATAGAAAAAACACTGAAGGCTAGGCATTGTGCAGTGTGTATGGTATAAGACATGCAGGTGGATGTGTGGACACATACCACGGTGTCCTGGTCGAAGATTTCCACCACGATGGTAGGCGGCTCCTCGGCCATGGACTTGGGGTTGCCGAACAGCGTCAGGTCGTCGAAAACCAGCAGCTGGTCCCAGGTCGGCGCCAGCGTCTCCGAGATGACCTCCGTCTTCATGCTCCGGGTCGAGAACACGACGCGAGCGAACGGATCCGAGAGGCCGGACGCGTCGGAGGCCACCAGGCTGCGCGCCTGGTACATGTGGGCCCGTAGCTGGAACGTCTGACGTTCTGTAATCGGGCAGAAGGGTTAGAAACTACCTGACAAAACTTAAAAGTATGCAGATTTAAATTGTTGGGTATTCAATCCAGGATTTGGTTCGGAGAGGCCGGACGCGTCGGAGGCCACCAGGCTGCGCGCCTGGTACATGTGGGCCCGTAGCTGGAACGTCTGACGTTCTGTAACCGATCAGAAGGGTTAGAAACTACCTGATATTCCTATAATAAAGCCTCAAAGCATGCACAGTTAATTTGTTGGGTTTTGGATTTGGATCCGAGAGGCCGGACGCGTCGGAGGCCACCAGGCTACGCGCCTGGTACATGTGGGCCCGTAGCTGGAACGTCTGACGTTCTGTAACCGATCAGAAGGGTTAGAAACCTCCTAACAAAACCTAAAAGCATGCTAATTTTTAAAAACAGTTTGTTGGTTCTTGGATTATTTGGGTTAGAGAGGCCGGATGCGTCGGAGGCCACCAGGCTGCGTGCCGATCAGAAGGGTTAGAAACCTCCTAACATTCCTAACAAAACTTAAATTTTTGGGGTTTGGGATTTGGATCCAGTGTACATATTTAGGGTGTTGGTGAAGGTTAGACCATGTGATAAGATACGCCAAAAAATACAGTTACTCAAGCAACTGGATATGATTTCGGATCCGGAAATAGTTTCAGTTTCAACTATTGATTGAGTTAATTAGTGTTAGTATCACTGATGGCTAACATCAAACTGCTTTCAAGTAGCCCCTCTAGTTTGTTTGTCCTGAAACAGCTCAAATAGCAAACTTATTAGCCTCTACAAGGCTTAAGAAGTGGGTGGAAAGTGTAAAAATTAGCCAAATAGATGGATAACATGCCAGGGGAGTTGGTCTACTAAAGAGTACATCTGCCACAGCAAAGACCTTTAGCAGATCAACTTCTCTGGCATGTTATCTGTCTATCAGGCTAATTTCTACTCTTTCCAGCCACTTCCGAAGCCTGGTAGAGGCTACAATCTCGTGGCCGATGCACCTTCATATTTGAGAGTGACAGGAGGCACAGACTGCAGGCGACCAGCACTTTGAATAGCCTTGGTCTGCTCGTAGCCCTTCGGCAGGCCACCCAGGAAGTCCTTCTTGTGCTTGTTGAGGCCCAGCCAGAGGTAGAGCTGCAGCTTGGCCTGGATGGTCCACCCACTGGGGCCCGTCCCGCGCTTCCCTGGCAGCTGTAGGGACACACAGGAAGAGTTATGTTCAGTAACTTTGTTGGCCATTGGAACAGAATGTATAGTCCATTTGGGGTTATCTGTTGCCATTGAAACAGAATGCATGTTCCATCTGGGGTTATCTGGGAATGTTTTTATCCCAAACCCTGCCTGTCCCATACCGTGCCTGTTTCAAACCGTGCCTGGGCAGGCACAGAACGGGACACAGCCTGACTGTCCAGAACCGTGCCCGGAAGTGCTGTCAATCATAGTGACTGGCGGTACCAGGCACGGTTTGGGACAAGGCCATCGCGTGTCCCAAACTGTGCTCAGTCCCTAGGCATGGTCTGGGACAAGGCATGGTTTGGGACAAGGCATGGTTTGGGACACAACAGGCCCATCCCACGCTTCCCTGGCAGCTACCTGGACACACTGGTTATCTGCAGCCATTGAAACAGAATGCATATTCCATTAATTTTGGGGTTATCTGGGGCCCATCTCATGCTTCCCTGGCAGCTACAGGGACACAGGCAGGTTAGTTTCTGAGTACAATGAATGAAAAACGCGTACTGTCAAAGAAGACTGCTAAACACACAGTAATGCGGGTAAGGAGTTTTTGAGCATTCAATTTTCATGCCAAACTTAACAGATATACCAAGTGTAGCTTGATTTAATCTATATCATGCGATGTTTCACCAGGATGTTTAACCGTCACCAACAATGATAATTACACAATCTTTCATCATGTTATTTAATAACATGGATTGTAAATTAAGATCCGAAACTACAATGTCTTTCACTAATGAAAATTAAATTGTACTATAGAATTGGCAAATAAGTACATCAATGTTAGTGCTCTGGCAGTCAATCTGTACAGCTGTCAGCAGCTTTTACTTACATTGTAAAAGTATCAATACAATAGACAAATGGTCTCACCTTGAGGAAGAGGGTCTGCACCTTGCCACAGTTGACTGATTGATTGATTGATTGACAGATTGATTGACAGTTGGACTCACCTTGAGGAAGAGGGTCTGCACCTTGCCACAGTTGACTCCGGTCTCCTCTGCCACGATGGAGTAGAGGATGTCTCGGGAGGGGAAGCGAGTGTAGGCGATGCGCTTGTTGTTACTCAGCATCCAGATGAAGATGTCGGGAAGGCTGTCCTGGGGCTATAGAAAAAGAAAGATACATTTTTATGCAATGACCCACCACTATCAACATCTGTGTATCTTTATAAGGTCAAACTGTACAAGTGCCTGTGAAATGCTCAGAAATATTTTAATGTACAGCTATGATTGAATGTCTACTGCCTGCCAGTAAGTGCTTAGGATAACAGCTTATCCCTGCTCCCGTCTGCTAACTTTTAGGTTCCTCCATGTTGCATCAGATTATGAAAGTCCTATACTATAGATGTCTTTCAGGATCAGTGGTCTTTCTACATATGTACATTTATATCATACCCGGGCCGCAATAACGTTTGATAACCATCGGCTTCCATGGCTTCCATACAAAAATTCGAACGCGTTTTGCGTGCGCCACTTTCAAAAATTTGAATATCCGGACGTTAGAATTGATGTTGTTGCATTTAAGGGTTAAGTGGCACCAACTCTTGGCTCATCTTGGGTTGAAAGGCGCGTTTTATTGGGTGGGTATGACATAAATCAAATACAGTACAACGCGGGGTATTCCGTATCGCCAGAGGTATCCGCCCGACCGTGCATGTATCACTTACCTCTCAGGGAAAACACCTGGAGGTAACTGTCGTGCCTTGTAAACTGAAGATTGCAATGGTCTCCTTATGAAGTGATATGAGATAACTACTAGTATTGGTTATTACCTCAATGTTGAGCACTTTGAGCTTGTTGACAAACGATGCGGTCTGTTTGAGTTTCTCCTTGTATGTGGAAGCCCGCACAGTGGCCTTCATCTTCTTGGCTTCCTTTCCAATAATTTCCTAAAAACGGGGAATAAAAACATCTTCACATTCATAACATGGTCATAACAAGACATTATTCAAATCTCGTTACAGACATAATGATAAAATCTAAAACCCCTGTCAAATACGTTATGTGCAATGTGCCTACAATGTTTATTTTTCTGCAATGATCATGCATTATGTTGTAGATTTGAGAAGAAATGGGTGCAACAGTTTACTATCATGAGGTTTAGAAGACTCAGACTCTTCTAAACCTGTACAACAAAATCTTGAACAAAATAACAATATCTGAGGGTAAAAGTAATACAAGACACAAACATAAGTTTGAAAGCCATAACCTGTTGTCAGAGTTATGCATGTTTCGATGTTGTAGACAGATTTGAATATATCTTTACATGTAATGGTTCCCACAACGCAAAAATAGGTAGATATATAAAGGAATGCTTTGTTATTAGAAAAAATTCTGAAACTTGTGATTAGCTCACTCAATTGTAACACTTTATCAAAGACTTGTGCCATCCCTTATTGTTTGAATAATTAAGATATGTTAGGTTTTATTCGACATTAGGTCTTATTCAACACATTTATTTTACTGTTTGTTACTCTCTTTATGTATTTTGCCATACATTGTACCACGTGCAATAAAGTTCTTCTGCATGAGTTTTACTGACCACTTCCCTGAGCAGCGTGCGTGCCCGTTCTTTGTCCAGTTTGGTCCTACCAGCACTGTTCCCGTCTTTTCCACTGGCCTTCTGCAACAGGCTACAGAATCGGCTGGACAGAAACAACAACATTGTACAGTTAAAACATGTCCAGTTTGGTCCTACATGTACCAGCACTGTTCCCGTCTTTTCCACTGGCCTTCTGCAACAGGCTACAGAATCGGCTGGGCAGAAGCAATCATACAAGACTGTCATTTAGCCTCTGTACACTTCAGATAACCTGAAGAAGCCACACAGGCAAAACCGGTCGTGTGACAGGCTGAATAAAAGTTCTAAACGGGAACTATGCGACTCCAGATGTCTTACTGAGGGACGACTGCGTGTGCAAGATGTCGGTTAGCTGAGGAATGAGTCCCCTCGAAACAAAAACATTGTACAACATTACTTTTCATTTGCAACCACATACATGTATGTCACTCTTGTTGTAACAACATCCATGTATGTACATTGTAAGAATCACTTTGCGTTTGGAATTGCATTCTCCAGGGCCACAATTGAATCAGTTGTGCAAAGTCCTATTTCAGGGGTTTACTGTTCATAACAATCATGGCAATTCCTTGATGATGCCCGGAAACCAATAAAATGGTATGTAAGAGAGCATACACAGGAAGGGTTGCTGCTGCTCAACAACAATTCTAAATTCAGCACCAGGGACAGACTTGCATTTGGAAACAGAAATGACTTTTTCTAAGTAACTAGTTCTGATGAGCCCAGGCTACAGAACCGACTGCACTGAGACAACAACGTTCAGTCAAAACATGGAAGTGAAAGAGAAAGAATTTCAAAGTGGTAATACTATCAAAATGAACTCAATGAACAGTTGAATTCTTCTACTGGTTGTGACAGAGAAGCTTGAGACATGTGCTAATATGTACAGCATTTACAGGTTTGTTGTACCAGGGGAAATTTCCCTAGCTCTTTTTGACATGTGAAAAGAATAGTGGACTACAGCTTAATGTCCAATGCTAAGGACTACAACCCTCACCATCATACAGTTGAATGGCAACCCAAGGAAGCACTCTGTTCAACAGAACTAAAAGATTTATTGACAAAAATATTGACATTTTGGTTTGTATATTTCTGTTCAGCTGTTTATATATGTTGTATCAGTTGTTACCTTTTCAGTTATACTGATTTTCAGGTATACTGATCAATGTAAACTTTTCTCAGTTATGTTACTTGATTGTATAATTTACTTTTATACAAATTGTTGTGTTTATGTTATCTTATATTGTTTATGTGTCCCTGGGCCCTTTTGGAAATCAACAATTTTACTGTTGTAAAGGCTAGGTGTTTATAAAATTAAATAAACTGGAACTTTGAACATAATGTCACCCTTGTGGCATGAACAAACGAACGAACGAATGAATGACAGTAGTGCAGACTTACTTGCAGCCGACAGACAGCTCTTCCAGCACCCCTCTCAGCCGGCGCTCGGGGTGTGGCCGCTCCATGGTGATCATTTCCTGCACGTCGTTCATGCCTTCCTCCTGAATCCAGACAGAAGTTATATTATGATGTTATGCTGCAGATTTCAGTATGGAGTACACATAAGTTACTTGTACCCAAGAAATACAAAGTACTGCCAAGTGTCAGTGGCAATATTGAAGCTTTAAATCTTATCAATTCTGAAGAAGGAAATTTCCAACCAAATTTTCATCATGTCACTTGAAAGATGACTCTGAGCATTTAGTAACATAGATGTACAGTCTTAGCATGAATGTTTAACCCTTCTTGTCATAATAAATGTACAGTGTTTCTGCCAACTGTGGGTGTATCACATTCACCATATTCTTAAGCTGTAAGCTACAAGTGTTTATTTATTACATAGTTGTGCTGTAAGCTATAGGGCAACAAGCTAACACGCACCCCTTTCTCAATGACTTTGACCAGCATGTTCTGGTTGTAGAGTCTGCGCCGGTGATCTTCCCAGCGAGACTTGATGTAGACACAAGGTTTCTCCTCATAGTACGGCATGTGGTAGTAGTATCTACAGGAGGGAAGGAGATTACAACAGTTAGTATCTAGTTACTTCTTTGCATTCTTGCACAAGTGGTCGTGACACACACACAATGACATGCATCCCAACTTAGTTTGTCTAGTTAATGTATATCAGCATAATAAATCATTATGATCAGGATGTCTCATAGAGCTGAAAAAATGACCTTGACACCAACTATCTACACACTATCGTGGCATCTTTACAACTTCATGACAATCTTTACAACCACAGACTATATGACAACCTTACAACCGTCACAGCAACCTTTACAACCATCACTGCAACCTTTACAACCATTCTGCAACCTTTACAGCCATTACTGCAACCTTACAACCATCACTGCAACCCTTACAACCATCACTGCAACCCTTACATTAAGTTACAACCATTCTGCAACCCTTACAACCATTCTGCAACCCTTACAACCAGTCTGCAACCTTTAAAACCATCACGGCAACCTTTACAACTATCATGAAAACCTTTTCAACCATCACTACAACCTTACAACCATCACTGCAACCTTTACAATCATCACATCAACCTTTACAACCACCATCATGATGGCAACCTTAAAACCATCACATTTTTGAAGACCAATTCTCACCGGTCTAGCCTTCGTAACTGGATGGTACTTAAGAATCTGAGAGTAAAGATGAAAAGTTGTCCTCACATTAACAAACTTTGAAAATCTTCTTAGACAGGGAGGCAAAATATCAATTATCATACATGTACATTGTACATAGAACTCGTTATGGCATTAAAGTTGAACACGGCACAATGTATGGCAACAAGTATTGAACATAGTATAAAAAAGTGGTATTATGTAGTACTTAACATCCTAAGCACTAAAACAATAAGGGCTTAAGCATAATTCTTTGATATGATACAGAATATACAATGTACATAATCAGAATACAGAAAGAAATCTTAAAACATTGCTTAATGCTGCTGACCTGTTATGCCAAAAAAAACATTTACTCAAGCAACCGGATATGATTTTGGAAACAGTCACGCGTTTCAGGTAGCATCCACTAGCTTTCGTCAGTGACACTGGAGACTTGTCAGAAAAGCAGGTCATAAGCACGAACTATTGACTGATATCCAAATAAATGAAGACAAATTTGCTGACCTGTCATTGGTGACGGGTTTGATGGCAGGAGTGACGGAGTTAGTAGATCTCTTTTAATGCATCACTACGGTAAGTAATGATGCATTATTTTTTTATTCATTTTTCACTTATTCATTTTTTCTTTTTTAGGTCCGGGCTAGTCGCCTGACATGATGACTTAAAGTCACTACAAAGAGTATGATTCTTACCTGTCATTGGTGACGGGTTTGATGGCAGGAGTGACGGAGTTAGCGGAACTCCCATCCTCCTCATCCTCCTCCTCAGAGCTGTCCCCTCCGTCCCCTCCCTTCGGAGCTGTGCTGGCGTTTTGGCCATCAACGTTGTTTCCGTAGTTTCCTGGGAAAACAGGAAAAAATCAGACACTTCAGTCTAGGTTCCCTGTAAATACTACAACAGCCTCAGGATTGGTGTGCAACCATGTCTAACCCTCAGAAAATAGGGAAGAACAGATGCGAAACTGGATAGTGAGTTAGTGAGTGTGTGAGTGATCTCACACATGTTGACTAGCTCTGCCAGAATAGTGATAGATGTTACTTGCTTGAAATGTCTCTTAGTACATGTACTCAGAAACTGAAATATCGCTATATCAAGAAAAGTTTTGTACTACTGATTCTCAATATAAAATACCATTTCACAAGTACTTAGTACACTACATATACTGTATCAAGTATCCTCACCGATGCTAAGCTCGAATGTGATGTACCTCTCACAGTATGCCCTATCATAATAACTGAAGGAAGTACAGGACTAAGTGCAGTGCAAGTTTTGCTGTATAAGAAACCTCACCGATGCTAAGCTCGAATGTGATGTACAAGAATACAATCGCGCATGTGTTTATATGTATTTCTGAAGGAAGCTCACCGATGCTAAGCTCGATTGTGATGGGCTTGTCGCCGATCATCATGATTACATTACAAAATGTGTACATTTACAGTATGCCCTATCATAACTGAATAAAGTACAAGCACACTGCACACTATGTGTAAGAAATCTCACCGATGCTAAGCTCGAATGTAATGTACAAGAGTACAATCACACATGTGTTTACATGTATCTGAAGAAATCTCACCGATGCTAAGCTCGAATGTGATGGGCTTGTCGCCGATCTTCCTGTCGATCATGGTTGCCTCCAAGAATGAGCCGAACAGGAAGAACTCATCGACACGGCCAGCAGCAGTCTGCAACACGAGAGGAGAACCTTCTTTCAGACTTTGAAAAACATATAGTTATTCAAATTGATTACTGGAGGGTCTGTGCTGCGAGCAAATCAACCTGGCAATACCTACATGATTGTATGCTTTCCGCAGCTGCCATGATTGATTGATATAAAAACTGAGTCCAATAATTTTTGGCAATACACAGCATTTAAAGATTACAGGTTACAAGGTGGTCTTGTGCAGGGCTATTGACTTAGAATGTATCATATCCACGTCCTGGGTTTGAATCCCTATAGCAGGCCCTAATATTGTGCCCTTTTGGAATAGGGCACTTTACACCTCCATGTATTTCCTCACTCAACTCTGCTTGCTCCAGTTAGGGATGTTGTCTTGGATGATATGAGATCTAAAGCCTGACATCCCATTTTTTAAGAGAACCACTCCTCAAGCTTGCTAATAACTTAAAGTAGGGGCCTATGCCAGTGTGAGTGGATCAAACCTTACAATCTGGTTTTACACAGCTTGCTGTGTAATACGCCTAAAGGTGGTTTAATGGCTAATACAAAGATCCAGACTGAAGATACAAATGAAAAATCAATAACTTATTTCAAAAAGACACCATAAATTTTACCCTACTTCCCAACATGTTTCTGGATCTCATCTACATGTAACTGTCTTTTTTCAATAGCACAGAATAAAGACTCACGTCAGAAAGGGCAGAGCAGGATTCCACTTGCACTTCGTTCGAAACTCCTTCGGTTTCGTCCGTACACATTTCACACTTCAGTTGGATCAGCAGCCTCGCGCGGAACGCAACACCCTCGCCAACTCCCTCGTTCAGCGCCTGATGTTCGTCCATGAGGGAGTAGTCTCTCGTACTGCCATACAGGTTGATGAAGGTGGGACCAAAAGTGGGCAAGAACCCTGCAGCAGAGGATAAAGATGTGAAAATGACATGCATACCATTGACAAATATCTTAAACGATACACATGACACTATGTAACACCTTTAATGCACCATGCACCAAGTAACATCTAGTGTCAGTGCACAGCAAACCAGTCAGAATTTCCCTGATGAAGATGACAGACGGTCATTGAAACGTCGGCTTGTGGTTGTGATCAAAGAATTTTGTTATACAACACAAAGAGTTTGCTACTCTGGGGGGCTTTGAAGATTGTTGTCAGCCATGAGGGAGTAGTCTCTCGTACTGCCATACAGGCTGATGAAGGTGGGACCAAAAGTGGGCAAGAACCCTGCAGCAGAGGATGATATCATGACTCACTGTGTCATTGTCATTGCGAGCTTTTTGAGTTGGCACTGAAATTCATTTTAACCAGAAATCCAAGATTTCAGACTCCCAAGAAGTATTGAAGGGTCACTCATGCAATAATGGCTTCCTGAGATTTCTGCTAACTCATTGTGACACGTCTTGACCCTCTGGCATTCTGCCTGTCAATCTTCTCCAACCCACGTGCTGTCAACCTACTCCGTCCGAACCAACAGACACAAACCCATGGCTCAGCCACCCAAAACAATACTCCCATATCCAGAAGTAAATATAATCCTTCATAACATGTGTGCGGAACTATTACAAGGTTGTCAGACAGTCAACGCTTTGACACTTCCTTTAGGTACAATTTGATAACTTGTAGCAACTGAGATTTGGCAGCAGCTTTGTCACACTCCCAACTTTGTCACCATCATCATGCAGAAATTATGTTGAGATCAAGAAAACTTTAAACACATATAATTGGACTGTGATTGAGAACAGAGACCGAATGTGGTCTACATGTACATGGTAGATATAAGGAGAAAAGATCTGGCAGAAGCAGTATCTCACCTTTGTCACCATCATCAGAAATCATGTTGAGATCAAGAAAATGTGTCCCAATCACTTCGTTGTTCACACTGTCATGATCACGCAGTTGTATCTTGAAGCGCCGACAAAGCGGCGGAAACATCTCGCAGAACACGATTTGCTCGTTCCACTCCGGTTGGTAACTGCCTTTCTTAACGGAAGTGCGACCCTGCAGAAGTGAAAAAACACGACAAAAAGTCTTTTTTTTTTCGTCACAAATCGCACCGTTTTTAGTTTGTCTAATTTGCTACTAGCAGCTAGGGTGCAATCCTCTGTAGTTATTGCTGGCTCTTTTTTTATCTTGTTCACTAGGAAGGGAAAAGAAAGAGCCAGTTGTAACTCCGGAGGATGACATCCAGGCATCCTTTAGCTGCAGCCGGCTGGCTTTTTATACTTGCATTATGCAGCCATGAAATCCAACTTAAAGCTTACAATCCATGGCATTATGCAAAGTTGAAAGCAGTTGGATGCAAAGCAGAAAAATCTTTTGTATCAGAGCAGATGCATTTTGGTTCCTTTTGGAACCGTAGGCAAGAGTAAAACCAAAATAAGATGAATGATATGTTTGAAATTGTATGAAAAAGCAGAGAAAGAGATTGAACAAGTTTGATATGAAAAAACATTATGGCTAAAAGTTGACATACACATACATATGATGCACTTCAAAGTACACTCAATTGCAAAAAAGCTGAATTGAGTAAATGAGCTATAATTTTTTTCTGAAAAATACAAGACTTCAAATTCAAAACAGCCCTCTGCCTTCATACTTACATCCTAGTTGTTTGTTGGAATGAGCAGAGAGAGACGAAGAGAATATATAGGTTCAAAGACAAGTTCACAACTACTACGTGGAAATCTACTCTAACATCCCAAAATTAGTGCTCATGACAATAAGCTGGTTCAAGGTTCAAAATGGGCATGCACAAGGTCAAAGGAGAAGGCCCCTGACTTGTTCTTTTCTGTATTTTTAGACCATGATGTCCAGACGTGTTTTGTTTACATCTCAGGGGCCTTCATCTTTGGCATACCACCCACAATGCATGCCCCTATGCATGCACAGTTTAAACTATGAACCTGCTTATTCTCTAACAAAGAAATTAGATCTGAAGATGGAAGTAGTAAAAAGTGTAAAAATGTTATCTATACTGTAATCAATGTGAGTTACTTGGACCCCAAAATATGCTGTCGTGAATGACATTATTGGACAAATAAGAAAATGTATTAAACATGATCTGCAAGAGAAAATTTATAAGAGTCTAATGCAACGTCAAGATTGTTAGAAGGGCACCTAAGTTTAATAGAGTGTTGGTCACATTTGTCATGAAATAATGAAAAACGGTAATGGACATTCTTAGGATAGTTGTGGTAACTGAAGTCCAAATCTCTCCTCTGCTATAAAATTGCGACATGATGTAACCCAACACCACAGGGTGTCTGCTACAGCACCAGTTACCATGGTGACAGACCTCTGGTTCAGGTCTTTGATCTTATTTGTTTTTGAGAAGAAGTGGAAGAGGAAACAGAGCAAAAACAATATGTTTTCCTTCTGAATCAGCGAAGGTAAACATAAATTAAAATAAGTCTCACAAATCCTCGGGCTCACCCTTTGTCCTGCAAACTCCACTTGTACGAAGGAGTCGTACCTTAAAACAAATGTGACCACACCCTTACGCAACAAGAGATCAGATCCTTGCGAAGTTCAGAACAGAAGGACAAAGCAATTTTGATTCTAGCTAATATATAGGTGGGCTCACCCTTTGTCCTGCAAACTCCACTTGTACGAACGGGTCCACGAGATCCCTGGTCTCGCTGGTGAAGGCTTTCTTCACGTTGGCCATCAGACCGGTGCTCATCTTCGGCAGACCGTCCGCACGGAAGATCTTCATGATGAACTTTGCCCTCTGTCGCTCTGCCGGGACGCCCTCGGGGAGCAGCAGATTTCTGGGGGGGAGGGGGGCAGAAGTTCAAGGTCAGTTAAAGGTCAGATTAAATTGTTATTAAAATTTGTTTGTTTGGTTTGGTTTGTTTTGGTTTGGTTTGGTACCATGTCCAACAGTGTCTATCATGTACAAAACTCTTTCAAGAGGTCAGATTGTTAAGAGCCAGCAATTTGGGAGAAGCAGATTTCTGGGGAGGGGGGCAGAAGTTCAAGGTCAGTTAAAGGTCAGATTAAATTGCTATAATTCAAAGTTTGTTTTGTTTTGGTTTGGCTTGGTACCATGTCCAACAGTGTCTATCATGTACAAAACTCTTTTGAGAGAGATTTAAGGTCAGATTATCATGAAAGTTCATCTATAATCACATTCAAAGTCTTACCATCAAGCTTGGGAAGTAACTATACTTAATATGTGTGAAAAGTTCAACATATTCAGTTCTCGCGAAGGAAGATTTACCCTTATTAAATTCCAAGCCCCCATCTCATCTGGTAATGGAATATTCAGGCTTCTCTGTGCCTGTTTGCAAAGTAATTTTACGCGTGCCTTTTCCCAAGGGCTGCTGTTCACCTAGCTTGCGCTGGAGGAAATCGATAACAGATGATAGGATTATCCTATACTTGTCACATTTGTCTCGCTGTATGTATCAGGGACAGGGTGCAGGGCTCTAATAAGCAAAAGGAGATTGGACTACTGAATCTTCCTGTTAACCTCTCTGGCAGATTTGGGGCAATAATTATGATGCAAAATCTTTTTTCTCTTTGTTAGATGTTTATTGATCTTTCATGGTTTTGGGAGTGTTAAGATGTTTTGCTGGACTGTTTGGACACTATTCTGGCTAAGTTTGGCAGATGACATTGCCAGCTTTTGGAAATAGAAACACTTTTGACTTGTAACTCGTCCTTTGGTAATTTCCTATTTCTTCATATTGAGGAGTACAAAACAGACAATGCATGTCCGAAGTTACAATGTACCATGATGTACAGCAAGATTCACCACCATAATGGCTTGTATTAATAGACAGTGTAGTGAGTGAGTGAGTGAGTGTAATATAATTGTTATCAAGGGTGTACCATATGTAGATTATCAAGGGTGTAGACCATATGTAACATTAGACCATATGAAGTTCTTTGTTATTGGTCTTTGTCGTTTGTTCTACTTCTTGTGCTTATCTAGCCTTTTACATGTATGTACCCAGGGACACTTGTAAAAGATGTCATGGATTTGAATGTGAATTTCTGGTAATCAAAATGTAAAAAATTTGAAGCAAAAGAGGACTTACGCCTCGATGTCATCCTCGTCGTCCTCACTGCTCTTGGGCGGAGTCTTGATGGAGTCTCCCTTCCCGACCACGGCGATGTCACACTTCAGGTAACCCTTCGGGCCACCCGTCACATCCTCCGGGTCTGTCAGGAGGGCCCACTTGTGGTAAAACTGGTGATCTGGGGAGAGAAAAAAATAAAGTTGTTTGTTTGTTTGTTTGCTTGTTTGTCCCCTTCCCGACCACGGCGATGTCACACTTCAGGTAACCCTTCGGGCCGCCCGTCACATCCTCCGGGTCTGTCAGGAGGGCCCACTTGTGGTAAAACTGGTGATCTGCGGAGAAAAAATAAGTTTGTTTGTTTATTTGTTTGTTTGTTTGTCCCCTTCTTGGCCACAGCGATGTCACACTTCAGGTAACCCTTCGGGCCACCGGTCACATCCTCCGGGTCCGTCAGTAGGGCCCACTTGTGGTAGGGCCCACTTGTAGGGCCCACTGATGCTGTAGAAGAGATTGTCTATTTGTTCTTGTGGTAAAACTGGTGGTCTGGGAGGAGAAAATGTGCTTTGAATTCATACAAATGGAAGTTTATTTGTAAGAGAAGATTATGTAAATCACTTTGCCATTGTTTGGTATAATGCAGGTTACTTGTGGTGGTCTTATACTGCAGTAGGAGGAGAAAAGAGGTCTTCTTGTTGATTGAAGTTCACCCTTGCAACAATTCTGTAATAAAGTTAATAGGACTATAAAACACATTTTTGTGGTGTTATAATTTCACAAAATTGTAAAAACTAAAATAAAGCCCCTGCAAAAGAACCTGCATTTACAGTACTTTTAAACCTAAACTTAACTCAGTATCAACTTAAAGGAATAAACAATTAGGACCACAATATATATGCACAAAGGTTTCTATAACGGGCACTTCATCATCTGCCTTGTATGTGGAACAGGTCCATTATTGCAAGGCAACATCTAAGCCCAGCCAAGAGGAAGGATGAAGACAACTGTACTGTCCCCAGAAGGAAAGTCAGGATAATCACCGACCGAGGAAATCCAGATCCTTTCAAGATATATAAATGGGGTCGTTAAACTACAAAATGGGGTGAAACAAATTCATAGTAACGTCCCCGGGTATTGGTCTAAGCTGACCTGGAGCAGGGACACATTCATTCATGCCTTTCAGCTCAGCTAAGGCTTTACTCCTTACTACTTTGATGGTACAAATTTTACAGTAAAGGAAGTCCCATGGCCTTTTTGAGGCTGTAGAGGCAGTGGGTTCATACTCCACTGTGTGTATAGGACACGGTATTGGAAGGCAGAGCCCATCCCTCTCCTTCCACCGCCTTTTACGTCCCCAACCAAGGTACAAAAGTAAAGTTAGTCCCACAGTTTTTTTGAGGCTGTAGGGGCAGTGGGTTGTTATTCTGCTGGCTAGGACACAGTATTGGAAGGCAGAACATATCCCTCTCCTTCCACTGCCTTTTACCTCCCCAACCGAAAGTACAAATTAAAGTAAAGTTAGTCCCACAGTTTTTTTAGGCTGTAGAGGCAGTGGGGTTGTTATTCTGCTGGCTAGGACACGGTATAGAATTGGAAGGCAGAGCCCATCCCTCTCCTTCCACTGCCTTTTACCTCCCCAACCGAAGGTACAAATTAAAGTAAAGTTAGTTCCACAGTTTTTTTTTGAGGCTGTAGGGGCAGTGGGTTGTTATTCTGCTGGCTAGGACACAGTATTGAAAGGCAGAGCCCATCCCTCTCCTTCCATCGCCTTTTACATCCCCAACCAAAGTCAGGTACCCATTTTACACCTGGGTGTATTGTAAAACACAATGTCTAGCTAGGAATGCCAGGAACAAAACCCACAACTTCTCAATCCCCGTGACTGTTCACTAGCCTATCCATTTGGACATTTGATGCCACATTATGGCACAAGATTTACTGACCCTCTGGCCCATGATGTGTTAGGAATTGAGTTAACAAGTACTTTTTGAAGGGAGTTTCATTACTCACTGATTATGGAAGAAACAATTGGGTTAATGGGCCACAGGACACCCATTCCAACTGTGTTACGATTATTGCAACAAGATGTGAAAGATTTGGGGCGCTCGCATTTTTTCTGACAGGGAAGACTTACGAGCTAGGACACTGGTGATAAGCTCGTAGCAGGATTTTTATTGACCTGGTTTGATCTAGGGCAGGATAGAGGATTAGTTCTGACGTCCTTCTTTTGCCGTAAAACAAAGTAGAGTACATGAAATACCTTGCTGAATTTGACAGCTACGTCATTGATAAAAAAACATTTTCAACCCTTGGTTGAAACTGTTAACACAATATCACATAACACTAGTTCAAACCATGACATTTTCTTACATTTTCTGGCATTGTGGGGATATTTTTTTATAAAGTCTTGCATCCCTTTTTAGCTCTTTAAACTAATGTAGATACATTTACTTTTGTAGTGGTCTTATTTTGCAGAATTAGGCCGGTTTCATGGTGTATGAAGTACATGACTGAAACAAAGCTGTCATACTGTAGAAATAGTATATTTGTGGTGATATTTCTTTGCAGTCACAGCAAAAATACAATCACTGCAAGCAATTCAGGACTTAGAGTACATCATTCTTACCAGAATAAACACACTTATCACAATGCGTAGATAGCGACACTCGTATACTTGTATACAAGAGTTTTAATAAACAAATAAACAAACCACTAAACCTACCTGGGGCATCGTAGACTGTGCCCACGTCCAGTTTGAACGACCCGACCATGGTTCCAGAGCGCAGGAGGTTTCGGGAGTGTAGCACGGACAAGGTGATGATCTTGTCAAACAACATGTCGGGGGACATGTGGAAGTCAAAAACGAAGTACTGCAGGGACAAAAAAGAGAGGCAAACATTTAGAATGATCAAGACTTACATGTATGTTCAAGGTGGCAAGGTAGTTAGTTCTGTTCTATGTACGTTCAAGGTGGCAAGGTAGTTAGTTCTGTTCTATGTATGTTCAAGGTGGCAAGGTAGTTAGTTCTGTTCTAAAAGCTCTGATCCCTAGCAGGCCTCCAATATGTCTGGAGACATGTGGAAGTCAAAAATGAAATACTGCAGGAAAAGAGAGGCAAACATTTAAGAAATTAATGATCAAGATTTAAGGTGATATTGTAACTAAGATTGTCAACTTCAAATCTAAAAGGTGGACGTAAAAAACAAAGTACTGTGGAAGACAGATACAAACATTTTAAATTAACACTCATAACATGAGCTCGAGGTGGCAAGATTTTCTTGTGGTTAGTTCTGCGAAGTTGTTCTAAAGATTCTGGGTTTGAATCCCTAGCAACTTCCAAATATGTGGATCCGAAATAAAACATTTTCAATCAGTGATGATGACATATGTTCAAGGTGGCAGGTTGGTCTTGTGGTAAGTTTTGTTTTGGTTTGGTTTGTCATAAAGGATCTTCAATGCAATTTTACCTGCAGGAAAACCATTAGCAAAATAATCATTACAAGATCTGTGATAGAATATGCTTAACTGATAGGCAGAAATTTTGTCCTAAGAAAAGCAACATTAGCATTTCTTTCAGTACCAAGGACATCACCTTCTTCAGAACCATTTTAGTAAAAAAATGATGCAAAAGTTTTCAATTTATAATCAAAACTTCATGGTCTTGTGGTTGGAAAGTTTGCTTGATGAAAATCAGCAGCAGCTTTTCTTTCAGCACCAAGGAAAGCACCATCAAGATTGATCAGTGAAATAAAGGTCAAACTGAAGCTTTATTGCATGTTGATTGGGGTTAAATGGTGGGTCGTTTGCAATATAAGGCTAGGCAAAGGTCAGCCACCACCTTATGACCTGTTTGATATGGGCCAGTTCATCCTTCAGGGCTGTGCTTCATCCAACAGTAATACAAGGCAAGAAAGCATTTTGATAGGAAAACCTTGACAACTTATTGTACCTTATTGTACCAGCTCATCATGTACCTTTGTCCTTTCTTCTTCTTATTATTATTATTACTTTGTTTTATTGTTTCCTTTTATGTGTGAGGAGAGGGGTGACATAAGTTTCATAACTTTTTGCCCAATCCTCGAAAAATAAATGTGAATAAAATAAAATAAATAACTTATTGTAACAAATTTTCTCAGTGCAAGGCCAAGAGACCACTTCTAGGCACTGAACTAAGTTCAGGTTACTGTAAAAGTATCTCTTCTACCTAAGTTAGAAACATCAATGCTGGAGGCAAGCTGGATTCACTGAGACTCGGAGGACTAGCAGACCCAATAGGATAAGCAGGGGTTACGAAGGTTGGTTGCATGGGAATATTCCTTACTCCATATAGACTGGAATGGATGAGACTTTTTTTACTAGTTTCCTATTTCATCTCCCACTGCCTCCTGAGAAGAAGTCAAACCCCCTAATAGCATGACAAGAATAGTTGAATAAGATAGAATAGATTAGAATAGCAGTTACATTGTTCCTATTACCTGTTCACATATTGCATATTTACTTTTTTATCCTGTATGTATACCAACGTTATTAGATTTAAGTAGAGATAGTAGGTTCGATAAGTATATCGTACACGTAGAAGTTCCTGTCAGCAAATAGTCTTATACATGTATCACCACATTTTCTTGTCAATGTATGCAATTAGCCCTCGGGCAGGAATTTGCAATAAACAACTTCATTATTTGTTATCCTATTGTCAAACCAAGAATTAAAACTATGTATACTATATATGTATACAACATTGATCATTCTTATATTACTCCAAGACCTGGTTAGTGGTACCTTAATGTCACCACTAATCCATTTTTGTCTTGATTCATGTTCAATTTTCACTTTGCTTGTTGAAGAAAAATAGCTCATAGAACACCGCTACAAATGCTTTCACTGTACAAAATAGGTTTGTTTGACAGTAATTCGTACATTATCTGATGCTGATCAAATTTTCAACTTCCAACAGTTCATATGAAAACAAAATTTGTTCATATGTAATTCAATTGCTTTTTTTTACATTCATGTTCCAAACATTGATTTCTATTACCACACATTCCTATAAAAGAAGCACTTAGTCAAAGATGCAATCATTGATGTAATTGTTTTAAAGATGTTCCACCAGTCTTCATAAAGGATGCAGAGCTGGAAATTCCACCTGCATATGCAGCTTAGTGCATGTAAAATTGGAGTATTTCTGATGTCTACCTGTACCTAACCTGCACTGGTACATGTACTGGGTTTACATTTTATTGTACATGTAGGTGTATGTGAATTTTTATTTGCTATATTCATTGTTACCACAGTGACTATAAAGTATAAAAGAAATAATATAAAAGCAATTGTTTTTTAACAGTTTTTAGTATGATCCATGCTTCCAAAATTATGAGAGGTGACAGTAAAATTTGTCAGGTGCAGGTAATTTTCAGTTCTACCTGTACCAGTGCATGTATGCAGGTATTGTGTATTGTATAAAGGTATTTTTTAATTAAAACGCCGGTTGTGTATAAAACACTTCTTGTGTAAAAAGAGTCTCTTCACTCAGAAAAAAAGGTATTTTTAGCCCCGCTCTCCTTGTACACCAAGGTCACACCAAGGTCACACCAAGGTCAAACTAAAAACAGCCTCCACCCTCTGAGAAGGTCTCCACTTTCCAAGAATTCCGAAACCTAATTTGGGAGTCTGCATCTTTCCAATGTGATTCATAAATCTCCTCAAGACCCAACATTTCCCAAGAGACGTAATGACGCAGGCACACTTGCCTGATATCGACTGATTTCTCGAAAAATCGATGAAGGCCCCCCCATGACGCAAAGATTACATTACCATTCCTGTACCCGCAGGTGATCGTAGCATAAATAACTTTACAGGCCCCACTCAAGGCGTCTGCTGAAATGGGGGGCCTCTTTTGTAGCAGCAGAATTATATTAGGAGTGATGCATTAAAAACTACAGCCAGGACTTGTCAGGATCGTATCAGTTTGCCACTGTTGTTAGATGGCATTTACATGTACCTCAGCTTTAAATATCTTTTCCTGAGAAACAAATTCAGTTTTGTTCCTACATTGTATATAGAATGGGTTTTACTGGTGAAATGCAAAAGATTAAGCCCCATCTTGAATGCTGTGACTTTTTTTGAACCCTACCATTTTTAATATGTGTGCACCTTGTTATTTTAATTGTTTGTCTACTATGGGCCAATTGCGCCTGAAACAAAGAATAAAGAAAGAAAATGTTCAAGTTCGGGCTGGAAAATGTCTCTTGCCACTTGCTGTAAACTGCAAAATTTTCATTTTGTGGTAGCCTCTCTGATGCAACTGTCTTCCTTGTATGACTGTACTATAGAATTGTTTCAACTACGAGTTTAAAACACTGAAAACCTCCCTTTTGCCCCTACCAGGAAACAAAACCACTGAAAAAGTTTTACGATTTACACTTCTTAGAATAAGAAAGGTGTTTTTTCCATTGTTATGCCCACCCGTGAAATATCACATCCAAATCAGTTCGAGAGACAAATTGCACACACAGGACTTAACATTTAAATATCAAAGTTCACGTCAGCATTCCTTCACGATATCTGATCGTGTCTTCACTGTCTTTTTACCTCCGGGGCAAGAAGCTTTCAGGTTCTGAATGACGTCAATGATGGTGGTCCATTGGGACCTTTGTGTCTTGGGGAATTGTGCACATGTATAACGCATGCATGTGTTCCCCCCACCAACTCGTGTGTTTTTATTTTTAATGGTATCAACAGATCATCACACTTTGTAACACAGTCGAAAACAGTTCTTTGATAAAATTGATCTTTACTGATGATAGCTTTTTTGTTTCTCTTTGACGTCAAAGATGACACTACTTTGGAAGTATTGTGTCTTGGGGCATTGTGTATAACTTATGTGCTTTTAATGGTATCAAATGATATTTGTAATACTGTCATAACTTGGTGTCAGTTCTCTGATAAAATTGATCTTAACTGATGATAAGAAGAGCAGAGGCTTTTCAGGTTCTGTATACATGACGCCAATGATGACACTCCTTTGGGAGCCTTGGGGGCATTGTGTATAACGCATTTGTTACCCCCCTCCTATGTTTGTGCTTTTAATTTAATGGCATCAACAGATCATCACACATTTGTAATGCTGTCACCATTTGTCGGTTCTCTAATAAAACGGATCTTGACTGATGATAGCTTTTTTGTGTCTGTTTAAATTTGTCCTCAATGCTGATGGTCCTTTTGGACTAAACTTTCTTGGGGCATTGTGTATAACACATGTGTTGCCCCCACCTATGTTTGTGCTTATAATTGCACCAACAGATCATCACTAATTTGTAATGCTGTCATCAGTTTGTCAGGTCTCTGATAAAATTGATCTTTACTGATGATAGCTTTTTTTTTTTTTCTGAATGACTAAATATTATATAGGAGTATCCTGTCTTCAAGTTGGGGCCTAATGTATCTGTTGCTCGCCTCCTATGTTTTTGTTTTTTATGGCATCAACAGATCATCACAAACTTGTAATGCTGTCACTAGTTTGTCAGTTTTCTGATAAAATTGATCTTAACTGATGATAAGAAGAGCAGAGGCTTTTCAGGTTCTGTATACATGACGTCAATGCTGATGCTCCTTTGGGAGCCTTGAGGACATTGTGTATAACGCATTTGTCACCCCCCTCCTATGTTTGTGTTGCTTCCCACCTATGTTTGTGCTTTTAAAGGCATCAACAGATCATAATAACATCTAATAAAATTGATCTTGACAGATGATAGCTTTTTTTGTTTCTGTATGATGTCAATGATGACGCATAATGTACAAATGCATGTGTTGCCCCCCACCTATGTTTGTGCCTTTGCTGGTATCAACAGATTATCACAAATCTGTACTGCTGTCACCAGTTTGTCAGCTCTCTAATAAAATTGATCTAGCTGATGATAGCTTTTTTTGTGTCTGTTTCTCCTCAATGCTGATGGTCCTTTTGGACTAAACTTTCTTTGGGCATTGTGTATGTATTACTTCCCTCCTACATTGTATGTTTTTGCTTTTAATGGTACCAACAGATCATCACAATTTTGCAATGCTGTCAGATCTCTAATAAAATTGATCTTGACTGATGATAGCTTTTTTGTTTCTGTATAACGTCAATGACGACACTCCCAGAGGATCTTTGTGTCTGGGGCATTACGTATAACGTATGTGTTGCTTCCCATGCCCAAGTATTAAATCAAGTATGTGCTTTTAATGGTGTTAATAGGTCATAACACATTTGTATTGCTATCAACAATTTGTCAATTCCCTGATAAGATAGATCTTGGCTTGGCCTACACATACTTTGCTGCCAACTTTGAGGTTGAAATTTGAAATGATTTTAATTCTTACATTTAGGGTATCTTTTAGATCCTGATTCATTTTATGATAGTCTTGGCTAGGCCCAATGACTGTGACGTGTCATTCTTACTCAAAGACACTCATATATATGGTGACTATGCAACCCACTTGAACTCAGTTATGCATGGCACTTGCATGACGAACACCAGTTACCATACTGGCAGACATCTGGTCCTGGTCATTGACCTTATTTGTTTGGAACGTAAGAAGAAGAAGAGGCAGAAACTGAGCAAAAACAATATGCTTTCCTTCGGTAAACATAATACAAAACTATGTTCTGATTTTACCTCATTGTAGTATGGACAGTTGGTGGACTCCTTCTGACTGGTGAACTTTCTCTCCTCACCAATCTGTACAGACACCACAGGGTCCATGTTCAGCCCTGCCAGCTGACGGGCTTCGATGATCGTTATACATATCTGCCAGGGGAGGAAAAAAGAACATCTTGTAAGGAGGTTAGAAACTCTACAGTCAAGATTTGATAATCGTTATACATATCTGCCATGGGAACAACAGAAAAAAAACACTTAAAAGTATTGGAGAAAGCTCAAAAGGAAACAGGTGCTTAGAAACTCTTCAGGCTTCGATGATTGTTATACATATCTGCCAGGGGAAGGAAAGAAAAAAACACTCAGTATTGGAAGACCAAAGAGGTTAGAAACTTGTCCCTCTGACTACATGCAACCTGTACATGTACAAAAGTCATCATGATAATGTAATTCTTTGTCTAAATCAAGACAGTTCATGTATCATGAATATTGCTATGATCAACTTCAAGCTTATATGAAAATTTCAGTGTAACATCTGGCTCATTTTGCAGACACTCATACATTCACAGCACACAAATGTGTGTATGTTTGTGCATGTGTGTATGAATGTATCAATGAATGAATTTTTATTTACGTGTCTTGCGACTTTTGTCTCCCAGCCCATATGAGCTTATAAGACATCAGAACACAAAAATGAACATGTGTGTGTGTGTGTGTGTGTGTGTGTATGTACATGTGTGTGTGTATGCGTACATTGTGCATGGACACAGTTTTGCTGGGTTAGCTTCCAACAAAGAAGACTTCATATCCACAAGGAAGAAAAACAGAACTTGGCCATCCTACATGTACATTCCATCAATTAATAATGAACCAGGCTATCCTAATAAAGCACAGATGCCTCAGGAGGACACTTCTGTGAGAATCTCCCATCAGCTTTGATCTCTGGAATGTGAATAATTCCGTCCTGATTGCCAAAGTCTTGCAGACGTTCAGAATTTTCCCCTCCGTGTTAAAAGACTGAGCCTTGTAAATGTCAGGTTGTCTCGAGAGAGCGGACCTGACTTGGGTGTCAGTGCTAGCCTGGTTACCAGTCTCCACGGGTTGGCTTAGGGGCCACAGCCAGCACGCCTGCGCAAAACCCTTATTATTATTTCGAGGTTTTCGTGAGATGTTTGGTCAATGTTGCATTAGAATTTTCTTGTATTTTCCAACATAACGTTTCACAAGTACAGACAGGATGTTGACTTCATCGTGTGCTGGCATGTTGTATGGATAGTGCACTTAGTTACCCATCCTAATGAATTCCCTCGGTAGTCAGCGCAAATTTACAAAGTGGTTACAAGTTTCAGAACTACAAGTTCGGTGTTGCCCTCACATGCAGTATGAATGAACGACTGGCGATCAGTATGCAAGACAAGCAACGGCAAATTTGGCTGCTCGTACCGTGAAATTCATCTGACTCAAGTGTCTCCTTGCTTCTACCTTTGTCTCTAAGGTTGTTAAGCCCTGGTAATGAAGAAATCTTGCTATGCATTGGTGCAAGATATCATCAGTGCTACAGAGATATTTTTAGTGTGGCCTTGTCATCCCGATTATGGTCAAACTTTTATATGTACATGTATAAGGGTGGTCAGATAAGAATCTGACCAAAGGACTACGACAATCTTGTTATACATGTAACTGGATATGATTTTCAAATTTTTTTTTCAAAACTTTTTGGCGTATCGTATTACCTGGATGTCTAACCTTCATTGACGCATGTCATATCTAGTGAACAAATGTTTTGAGCACTGCAATATCCAGAATCTGACCAGAAGACTATGACAATCTGATAAAGGAATGAAAAGGCACGAAAAAGATGTATTTAGGGCCCTTTATTTTGTATAACATAATGCTCTACATGGATGTCTAACCGTCCATGTAGTACTACATTGAATATTGGGCCCTGTTACCAATTTACAGCTTAGAGACTTGAGTGACTTGAAGCATGTCATACCTATTTAAAAAAATCAATGTTTTCAGCACTGCAGTATCCTGGCTTCCTTCCTCTTTGGCTGAGTTTCAAGAACATTCAACAGGGAACAAAGTTTACTGGAGCAAAGTTAACTCTCATGTCAGGTTATCTACAAAAAATGTCAACAAAAAAGTGCTTGCAAACTTTTGAAATGAAGTACAAAGCACATCATTTTAGAATTTTTTGCTGGCTTGACTTAAACACACTTGAGTGTAAAGTGTAAAGCTAAAGCACTCTTCTGGTTTTTGTTATATCTTGTGTCACTGATTTTATTTGACGTCAATAGCTTAAGTCCAGGTACATTTAACAACACTAGTAGGCACTATGTTTCCCCTGGTAAAAAAGATAAACAATAAAAGAGCGTATTAAGAACCTTTGCATTCCCAGACGTACACATATTTCCTGGATTATATCATTCAGAAACTAATACTAATGTACCCATTGTGGATCACCTCTGCAAAAAGGCAGACAGACTCCTGTTCTATTCACTGACTGTCAACTTGAATTTTCCCCTTGAAAAGGTTTTAGCACCCAACTGAACAATGGGGTAAAATCCATGGTGGGTTTGGCATTGTGTGTCAGATAGAGTCTCTTCCAGAATAAATAATTCGCTGCTGCCAAAACACAAGGGTATAGGGGTTTTCTTTAATTTACACACTTTCAATTTATTTATTTATTTAACCATTTTGGCCTGCTTTTCAAGTAACAATATTTGTAAGGGCGTTTGAGATACTGAGATACTGCACCAATGAACCGCCTGGACAATCTAAGGTTCCTCGGGGAATCACCCGATCAATAAAGAACAGCTACCAGAGCTGAGAGTCGTCACTACCACCTGTGGCTATGACCTCCTAAGGTCAGAGTAAAGTCTGATTATTGGTTCTTTTACCACACAGGGCCACTGTTACACTGAGATACGTCAACAATCGAATTTAAGTTAGAAGGGAGGGTTCAAAAATACTTTTTTCTCAGGTGGGAAACCTAAGCCATAAGCTATAGGTTGCCCATCAATGTTTCAGGTTGCCATCAACACTGGCTGTTTATTCTAGAAGGCAAGCCAAAAGCCAGGCCACCAGTAAATGTATCACTCACATGCTGACTCATTTGGATCAGCCTTGTCTTATCCTTGTCTTATTTTTTGTTTCCTATGGATTGTCTAAAATTTGTCTTGAAAAAAGCAATTCATAGTCTTTGGAAAAATACAAAATGTACCTGTTCAACTAAAGATTCCGCTAGTAACTGCCCAAAAGTAGTGAATGCTATATATACTTGAAACGTCTGACAGTTTTCTAACAAAATCTATCCAGTTGCTTTTTGTAACAGTTTACTTGTGCATCTCATTCCCTGGATGTCTACCCTTCATCAGCAAAACTATAATTACTGTGGCAACCTTTTTTAGCCATTGATAGATGGGAAAATTACCAAAAGTAAAAAAAGTTCCGAGTACTAATATGTGAAGCACATTGGAAGATCACCTCAGTGAGGGAAGGTTGGATAGCTACACAAGAGGGCACCAAAGCTGGCCGCAGCTTTTATAGATTTTCTGTCAAAAACGTAGAATGCAATCCAGTCTGTTAGTGACCCTGTGTAGGGTGTGTCAGCCTCCAATACAGCCAGACCTGAGGGCTAGTCTGTTGGCTACGATAAGAAAGTGCCTGTCAATCAGAAAATTAAATAGCGTACAGTGTTATCGATTTGAAAAATGCTCTAAAGACAATGCACTGCTTGATATAAATTGAATGGCAAATTCTGAGTTTTCTCTCACTAGAAAATGTTTTTATGATGACAGAAGAGAGTGTAGCATTGCATAACAAGATGACAAGACGTTTTCCCTTTGTGCATAAAAGCATTTTTGGATCAAATCCAAAACTTCTTTCTACGGATAAAAGTTTGATAAACTGAGGATAGAACTCCATTTTACCATGATGAACATCCCACCATCTGCCACCAGAGCCAAAGTATGGTATGACTGACTGCAGTGTTGAAAGGGTGGAACTTTCCAAGGTGCTGATATATTTGCTGTTGTTAAAACTCCATGTGGTCACCGGAAAATTCCAACTCAGCCCAGAACTAAATCTTACCATCTGTCCGGACAGCCAAAGTACTACAGGACTGCAGTATTCAAAGGCAGTGCTTTCTAAGGTTATGAAATATTTGCTGTTGTTAAAACTCAATGTGGCCTCCAATATATCAACTCTGTACAAGCTAAAACCACTATGTGCAAGGATTTATGTGATATATAGACTCTGTGGGATGAAATGTCAGTGGACGTCAATTACATAGCCTGTATCTTGGCAATATTTTGCTGACCCTGACTACTCCTCACGTAACCTCAATGAAAGGCGGCCAAGATTAATTGCCTTTGACATAACCACAAAAAAAACAATCAAAGACCAAGCTTTTAACATTTGTCACTGATCAATGTGGATGACCCCTTGAACTGCTTTAGTTTCGTCATGTTTGACGTTTACCAAATAAACATAAGAAATGCTATTAGAAGTTTGATAACGGTGTACAACAATTTGTGGTGTATAATGATCCCAAAAGCTGACACTAATCTATAATTTCACGCCAGGCTGTAAACCAGCACGACTCCCTTTATCGAACAACGGATAAATTACTGTAACTTGAGGACCGCCGTTGACAATAGCCTTCTCCTAAAAGCCTATTTATGGTCCTGGACACACGTAAATGCCTGATGGCCCGGAAGTCAATTTTGTGGCTGATTTCCCTTCCTTTATAGCCTTTCATCACAGTCAGGGCCTGATGGAAAGGGAAGGTCTCAAAACAATAGACTTTTCTTTAACTTATTGATTTTCTGCGAGCCTTTGTCACGCCAACGTGGGGAGCGACGCCGAATTTGTCTTTTAAAACGTCATACAAATTTAATAGTCTATTTTTGGGTCACACGATAGGGACGAGCTACAAAAGGAAGATGAAAATATGCAGACATGTAGTGGGTTTCCTCATCAAAATGTACAGCATGCCAGTTTTGCAGAGGCTACGGTTTACTCTGCAAAACTGTGATTGTGAACCATTTTCTCTTTTCTACCCAGACTAATGGAACGTAAAAACTGCAACCATCCCATGTATTTGTATGATGGAATCAAAAGCAGAAGTTCTATCTATAGCACAT